AGGTCGCCTCCAAGAGGAGGTGCTCACTGAGAGCCCTCTAGATCCTTGGCAGTCCTGGTGCTCCCTGTGAATGAGGCAGATGGCATTCTGGCCCCAGACTACAGGGCAACTGCTAAATGAGTCAGCAGAACCCCACAAAGTGGGGGGCCTCTCCTAGGCCTGTCTATGGGGTTGGCTCCGATTCAGAGCCTAGGATTCCATCTTGGGCCTGCCAAATACCAGCTGTGTGACCCCGGGCAAGTCACATCCTCTGAGCCCAGATCCTTGTTCTTCAGGAGGCGTGATCTATATGTATGGACTTGCTAAGGTGATTTAGGGAGTCTGCGGGAGAGCCTGGATGCAAGAAGTGATTACCCTAGACACGTGGCACCAAGAATCAATGAAGATGAGCCGCAGCCTGGTGCGCTCCCGCTCTAAGCGGCTCGCTGCTCCTCTCCCCAGCTTCAGGGGGTTCCTGAAGCCTTCCAGAGCCAGACCTCATTTGCCCCCACACCAGCCATTTCCAGTGCCAACCGCCCCGCGGGTCCCAGATGAGCCATTGACAGCGGGGAACCGCCGGACCGGACCGGCGCTGGGCGCGGGGGGCGGGACGAGGGGGAGCCTGCTGAGCCCCGCCCCGCGGCGGCGGCGGCGGCAGCGGGGGGGGGGGCGTGACGTCACCGTCCCGCGTGCTGCGCGGCGGCGCGGCCGTTCACACCTGACTCCCGGCGAGTGGGAGAGCGGATTGGGCATCTTGAGGCCGTTTCCGCTGCCCCTTAAGCCTGAGTGACCTTGAACGAGGCGTTTTCCATCTCGGAGCCGCTCAACTGTAAAGCAAGGGTAGGCACACGCGCACTAGCCTTTCTCTGGGCTGTGAAACTCGGACCACGGCAGGGAACAACTCTTTCACCTACCACCCTGCTCCCGTCTTCCGTATCCAGTGGCCTCCCGTCTCCCTGTAACTTTGCGGTGCTGACCATTGCTATGCCCGTTGTACTCCAGGAAACTGAAGCTGGAATGGTTAAAGGATGGAAAAATATTTTGTAAACCGCAAAGCACCGGGTAAATACAAGTCTCTGCCTGTCTCTCTCTACCTATCAGATAAGCAGAGAGACACACAGACTCGGAGAGATGGGGAGAATTCCCAGACAGTGAAGGAGATGGAGATACAAGGCCTCTTGTGATAGTGTGGCCCCATAACTGAAGCCGGGGATACCTTCTTCCCTAGCCTTCAAAACGTTCCGGAGAGTTCTTTCACATACCCAAGGATCCCAAGCCTCCCACGTAATCCTTTCTAGGTGAAAGCAGCGAAGTCCTTCCTGATGTCTAACCCTAGTCTCTCCTGTTTGTGAGTTCCTCAGCACTTAGCACTACCACAGCCTTACCAGTCCCTTATCTGGGCGCAGGTGGGCCGGGCAGGCACTGGGCCCAGAAATCCAGTCAGGTGAGAACTGTACTTTGGGCAGTGACTTGTGCCTGGGGCGGGTCAGGTGGCAGGCACAGTAGTTAAGTAGGTCAGGGTTGTTTGTGGTAGAACCCACCCCTCCTGCACCTTCCCCTGCCTGTAATTTACTCTGGGCTGAACTGATTCGGAGTTAAGTTTTACCTTAGTCAAAGGGACCCAGGAACACTGAACAACACCCAAGACAAAAAGGGACACCTGGTGGGCATCATGGCCCGAGGACAACAGACAATTTAGAGCTCAGTTGACAATGACAGGACTCAGTCACACACACACACCCTTAGGTCACTGATACTATGGCCTCAGAGAGTCAAGACGCACTCATATGTCTATTAATAGAGTAGGTACCAAAGATACCCTATTTACAAGTTCAAATGGCTTAGATCATAACTCTGGTCTTTTCACTACCCTCCCCTGAGAAATGGTGTTCTTGCCCATGACTTCAGCCATCAGTCTCTGTCTCCTGGACATTCTTTGGTGCCCCATAACATGCCTAAAACGGATTCTTGACCCCCTTCAATGCAGAGTGGTCCTCCTCCCCAGCCTTCAGCCCTCATATTCAATCATTCTACCACAGAAAAGGTGAACACTGAGCCTCTTCCCTACCCCTGTGGGATCTCCCCACTTTCGGCTTCTGCCTTCCCCAAGCTATGTCCTGTGGAGTCTCCAAGTGTTTTTTTGTTTTGAGCAACACAATTAACTGGCTTGACTTAATAGATTTAATATATTTAGACTTTTATTCAATAACTAAATAATACGTATTTTTCTCAAGCATGCATGGAACCTTTACACATATTAACCACGTCCTAGATTACAAAAGAAGTCTCAAATACAAAAGAGCCAGATTATACACACTGCATTGTATGTCTATAACATAATTAAGAGATAATATAAAAATAATTGGAAATGTTGAACACTTTTTTTTTTTTTTAAAGATTGTATTTATTTATTTGAGAGAGAGAGAATGAGAGAGAGCACATGAGAGGGGGGAGGGTCAGAGGGAGAAGCAGACTCCCTGCCGAGCAGGGAGCCCGATGCGGGACTCGATCCCGGGACTCCAGGATCATGACCTGAGCCGAAGGCAGTCGCTCAACCAACTGAGCCACCCAGGCGCCCAACACTTTTTTTTTTTAAGATTTTATTTATTTGACAGAGACATAGCGAGAGAGGGAACACAAGCAGGGGGAGTGGGAGAGGGAGAAGCAGGCTTCCCGCTGAGCAGGGAGCCCGATGCGGGGCTCGATCCCAGGACCCTGGGATCATGACCTGAGCCGAAGGCAGGCGCTTAACGACTGAGCCACCCAGGCGCCCCTTGAACACTTTTTTAAAAAAGATTTTATTTGAGAGAGAGAGAGCCCGCGCTCGAGAGAAAGCACAAGCAGGGTGAGGGGCAGAGGGAGAAGCAGACTCCCCACTGAGCAGGGAGCCTGATACAGTGCTCAATCCCTAGACTCCGGGATCATGACCTGAGCCAAAGGCAGACACTTAAAACAACTGAGCCACCCAGGTGCCCCTTTTGAACACTTTTAAACTGATCAACGAAGATGCCATAAGAAGAATCAGAAAACGCTTAAAACTAAATTATAATAAAAATACTATAGGGGCACCGGGATGGCTCAGTTGGCTAAGCGTCTGCCTTTGACTGAGGTTGTGATCCTGGGACCCTGGGATAGAGTCCCACATCACATTGGGCTCCCTGCTCAGTGGGGAGCCTGCCTGCTTCTCCCTCTCCCTCTGCCTGCTGCTCCCCCTGCTTGTGCTCTTTTTCAAATAAATAAAATCTTTCCAAAAAATATTACATATTAAAACATGGGGATATAGCTAAAATAGTACTTGAAGAGAAATTTGTAGCCTTAAATCATAATGTCAGAAAAGGGGAAAGGCTGAAATTTAATGTGCTAGGTTTTAAAGCTAAGAAAATAGAAAAAGAACAGCAGAACTGGGGCGCCTGGGTGGCTCAGTCATTAAGCGTCTGCCTTCGGCTCAGGTCATGATCTCAGGGTCCTGGGATCCAGCCCCGCTTCGGGCTCCCTGCTCAATGGGAAGCCTGCTTCTCCCTCTCCCATGCCCCCTGCTTGTGTTCCCTCTCTCGCTGTCAAAGAAATAAAATCTTAAAAAAAAAAAAGAACAACAGAATTGACCCAAAATAGAAATAATAAAAATTTTAGCAGAAATTTAAATACATGAATATCGATATAAATAAAATAGACAAGTCTCTAGTGAAACTTTTCATGAAAAAAGGAATAAGACATGAAAAACCATTTTAGGGATGAAAAAGAAGATATACTTTAGATGGAATAGAGATTGAAAAGAGTCAAAGAGAAGACTATGCCATAATAAAGCTTTCAAGAAACGCCCAGAAAAATTATTAAACAAAATTGACAAGGAGAGGTAGAAAACCTGAATAGTCCTATATCATTAAAAAAAAAAAAAAAAAGAGGGGCACCTGGCTGGCTCAGTGGTGGAGCATGCAGCTTTTGATCTTGGGGTTGTGAGTTCAAGCCCCATATCAGTGTAGAGATTACTTAAAAATAAAATCTTTAAAAAAATAATTATTATTATTTATTTGACAGACACAGCGAGAGAGGGAACGCAAGCAGGGGGGGTGGGGGAGGGAGAAGCAGGCCTCCCGCTGAGCAGGGAGCTCCATGTGGGGCTAGATCCCAGGACCCTGGGACAATGATGGGAGCCAAAGGCAGATGCTTAATGATTGATCCACCCAGGCACCCCTCTCTCTCTCAAATAAATAAATAAAATCTTTTACAAATTAATTAATTAATTGATGGATTCTGCTTAATATTATTAAGTCTGTTAATTAAGCATATAAATAAAAGGAATTTTTAAAAACAATAGTCTCGCCATAGATGCAGAAAAGTAATTTTGATACTCGTTCAGATTAAAATTTATAACAAGTTAGGGATAGAAAGAGGAAATATTGTGCTCAATGATGAAATATTAAAAGCATTCCTTTTCTGATCAGAATGAGATAGGGATTCCCCACAATCACTGTTTCCACTCGTCATTGTCTTGCAGGTCCTAGCTGGTGCAGTGTACCAAGAAATAAGAGATACAAGGATTAGAAAGTGAGAAACCAGACTGTCATTGTTCTCAGATGATAGGTAGGGTTGTACTTAAAAAAAATAAAAAACAAATTAAGAATTAATAAGGTAGTTTGCCAAGCTGTGGGACCAATAAACAAAAGTCGATTGCTTTCCGAACTCTTCGGGAAACCTAAAATGAAGGAAAATTGCCATTGCCATTGCATCAAAAACAAGAAACACAGTACTAACAATGAAGGGAGTGAAAGTTGTGAAAGAAACTTCTCATGTCCCAACCGCATGTGGAAACTCAGGCAGAACGGGAGCCCGGGCTGGCCAGGCAGACTGGCTCAACTGTCCAACATCTCTGAACATTAAGTCCATTGGCCTGTGAGGATGTCATTGCAGGGTATCCCCCATGGAGTTCAGCGATAATAAGCCTCATGGAACCGGGTAGAACCGGGACAGACAGGACCCATTCTGGCAGCCGCTGAGCTTGGGAAGGGTGCCTGTTCCAGGAGTTAAGGATCCAGAGCTACTCCCCGTGCTTATACAATCCCTGAGGTCCTGCTGCTGTGGGTTGCCTTATTCATCCATTGCCTCTTATCTTGGCAGCTTCCCTGAGCCCCCTGAAAGCCGAGTGGTGCACCCTCATTAGGAGAATTCCCAGTCGGAGCAGCAGCTGAGTCTCTGCTCCAAGACTTCACTCTGCTTTAGCTAGATCAGGGGTCTGTAAGTCTTCTCTGTAAAAGGTAAGAGACTACATATTTTAGACTCTGCAAGCTACCTGGTCTCTGCTGTACTATCAACTCTGCCATTGCAGAGTAAAATTAGCCAAAAACAACATGTAAACAAATGAGAGGGGCTATGTTCCAGTAAAGCTCTACGAGCACAAATTCAAATTTCATGTACTTTCCACATGGCAAAATATTTTCTTTCCCTTGACTTTTTTCAACAATTTAAAAAATGTAAAAAACATTCTTCCCCATAAGCCATGTAAAAACAAGCAACAGGCCCACCAGCTGCAGGCCACAGTTGGTCAGTTCTTGCTTCATCTGGCTACCCTCCAACAACAGAAGGTTGGGCTGGGTCTTTGAGGCCTGGTCAGGAACAAAGGGTATCTTGGGAACAGTGAGCATTGCAAGTGCTGCCGGAAATAGTTTTCTGGAGATCTAGGGGGTTTAAGCTGTTTTTAATAGCCTTCAGTGGCTTCCCTCACTCTGAGTTAAGGTCAGGACGTCTTAGCATGGCATTTGTGGCCCTCTGTGACCCGAACCCTGCCTGCAGGGTCACTTTCAGCGCTTCTGCCTCCCTCAGGGGCCCCTAGGCTATGACACAGAAGTGTCAGGGCTGTGCCTCTCCATGTTTTTCCCTCTTCTGGGAATAGACCTGTGCCGTGGGCTGGCTAGCCTTAGCCCTAAGCCTGCCCCGTTGCTCAGGCGGAGCTGGGAGTCTCTGATAGTTCTCCCACGTGCTATGATTCACACTTGTCCTGCAGCAGCCCCTTGTGGGCTAAAACCTCCATCTTATTTATGCATTTTTGCATCCCCAAGCACTCACTGTGGGGGCTTAAGTGAGTGTCAGTGAGTGGGAGAAGGCTTCCAGAAGAGAAGGCAGAATTTCTGTGCTAGTGCAAGATTTGAGATCTTCCCATTAGAAGACCCCTGAAAGGTCTCTGGTCCTAATACTGGTCAACAGGAGTGATGTCTGGGATGCCTGGGTGGCTCAGTCAGTTAAGTGTCTGCCTTCAGCTCAGGTCATGATCCCGGGGGCCTGGAACATGGCAAGTCCCACTTTGGGCTCCCTGCTCGGCGGGGGGCCTGCTTCTCCCCCTCCCTCTGCTTCTCCCCCGCTCATGTTCTCTCTCTCTCTCTCTCTGTCTCGAATGAATAAATTTAAAAAATCTAATAAATAAATAAAGGAGTGATTTCTGCTCTGCCCTGGACTTGGGTCCTGAGAGGGGAGAGACAGCATCTCCACTCCATTTCTGGAGCAAGGAGCAAGGGTTGGTGCACCAAAGGCTTTGAGCTGACTGATCTCACTGAAGCTTTGCTTTCCCAGTTCCTAGATTGTGGACTCTCATTTTCACCACTTAACAGGACCATGAAATGGTGTCAGTGGTCTTGTGAACTAGGGAGATTTTTAATTTGCTAGACCCCTTCTGCCCAGAGGGAGAGAGGGTATGTTGAGGTGTCATGACACACTTCCTTTGAGATTTTGATCAGGAACAGAGAATCCTGGGAGATTCCTGGTAAAGAGCACCCTTCCCAAGCCCATTAACTTCCAGTCACAGGTTTTTCACACACCGTAAGAAAGGGGAATAGAAGAGTAAGGAGAAATAAAATTGGGGTGGTGGCAGCCGGATGATGAGGTCTGGAGTGTGGGGCAAAAATAAAGAAAGGGAGGGTCCTTTGTTTTCTGGAATTTAACATATGAATAAAGAAAATACAAAGGAAGGAAGACCGGGCACCACGGCTGTTGAAGGAAGGATTAGGGGTGGTGGTGGGGGAACCCCTCCCCAGCATCCCAGTGGAGGACGCTGTGGGCCAGGAAGACAGCTGATGGACATCTCCAAGGTCACAGAGCAGGAAGTGGCCATTCTCTTCCCGAGGAGCTGTGGGTCCGACACGAGTCCTAAATGAGGCCTTGGCTAGACAAGGGTTAGGGTTAGGGTTAGCACGCAAAAGGGGCAGAGCCAAGCGAAGTATGGCGTCCCACAGCCCTTTGGGCAGGCTAACGGTTTGGGGGCTTGGGACCTCCGGCGCCACAGCTGAAGAGGAACAAATTCTGGCAGCCTGCAGCAGGCTACCCTCCGGCCAGCGTCTTCAAGCGACCTCCAAGAGTCCCTGCTACTCTGCAGGGGTCCCAGGAGACCCTCTCCTCCTCCGGTGTGGCAGCTGCAGGAGCGAAAAGGGCGAAAAAAATGAAACCAGACTGAGAAATGGCTCGATGTGCTCACGCAGGGGAGACGCAGGTCTCAGTGTTCTCCACACGTGGGCGACTGCAGGAGTTGGGGAGGGTACCCCCCCTCCCCCCTCCCCCCTCCCCCGCGGTGGCGAACGCGTCCCCAGTCTCTGCTCTCTGAAGGCGGCGCCGGCACAACCGCCCCTACAGCCCTCTGCCGTGTGGTTGATAGGGGAGAGGTGGGGGGGGTCAGTCAATCATTCCCTTTATGCTCCATCCCACTCCCGAGGGAGTTCCAAGCTAGCTGGCCCTGGCAGGTGGAAAACAGGGTCCCGCCCGCGGCTTCCTAGGATAAATAGGACTGGGACAGCTCACCTCCTCCTCCCCGGGGACCCCGGCAGAGACGGATGGGTAACACAGCAGCTGCAGAGACGGCTCAGGCCGCAGGAGGCGGGGCGGGGCCTGGAGGAAAGGGGCGGAGCAGGGGCGGGGCCGCCAAGGCGGGTCTGGAAACTGCTGGAAGTAATCGCAGTACCGCCGTCGTCGCTCCTTCCGCTGGGCGCAGGCAAAGAGTCCCCCTGCCAGCCCAGGCCGGCGCCCTTCCCCCCCAGCCGGAGCCACGCCCCGCTGCAAAGCCCTAGCTCTTCCCCCGGCCCAGGGAGGGCCGAGATCCGGGGGCTGCCTGAAGTTACACCTCGAATTCCGCACGGTCCCTAAAAAATACCCCTTCCCCTTATTGGGCTATAGGAGTGTGTAGGGCAGATTGTAGCAAAAAAGTCGAACCTGGGAGCCGAGGTCGGAGTGGTTGGCCGCTTCTATCCCCGCCCTCCATCTTTTTAGATGTTCCTCCAAGGCACGACTCTCGGGTCTGCAGGCGCTTGCCTCACAGGTTTATAGGCAGGTCAGTGGCATCCGCGCCCCTAGATCCCCCGTTTCTGTCACATGAGTATTCTCAATCTTTAGTTCTTGGAGAGGGCTCATGCCTTGAAGTGCGGAGACGAGGCCACGAAAAGGAATACTTGCGTGTGCTCTTAAGGCGGAGACTGAGACCTGCGGCTCCCGCCCTTCCCCGCCCCCTCCCCTATTTTGGACCATGACGTCAAGGTGGGCGGGCAGCGGCAGGTGCAGGGCTGACAGACATCTTCCTTTAAGGCGGAGGGATTCGGGGGCGGGCAGCTAGTCTGTGCTTCGCCGTATATAGAGCGCCTGGGGGGCGCACAGCCGCTCTCTTGAGTCACCCCCGCGCAGCCTTGTTGCGGAGACGTAGCCGGACGCAGTCCTTACCCACCGTCGTCTGTAGTGCTTGCAGCTCTTCTCCTTTAAGGTCAGGTCGGAGCTCCCTTCAGATTTTTCTGTCTGGAATGCTCTTTTGAGTTGCTTTCGTTCCTCGTTTCCTTCTCAAAGCCTAGATTTTGTTGTGTTGGAGCGGCCCCTGGGATAGGACGACTCCAAATTTCGTCTGGGGGTGGGCGGGAGGGGTTTTGCGAGTTAGGCTTGTTTTTTCATCGGTGTCTGGGTGGCGGGGCTTTCCCCGGGCGGCGGCTAACCGTGGGGGAGGTGGGCCGCGGAGTGGGTTTGGGGTAGTGGGCAGCTGCACGTGGTGTCCGCGCCGGCCCGGGACGCTGCCATGTTTGCCCCTCCACTTCCGGACGCGGCTACGGGGCGCCGGAGAGTCCCCAAGGGTGGTGGGTGTGCGCGCTGGACGTGACTCAGCACAGCCTGGTGTTGGCTTGGCTTTGCCATCTGCCCTGTGGGAAGCGTTTTTCAAGTGTTCCGGTTTTTTCCTGTGAGGTTCTAAGGCGAGAAACGTTTACGGCCGGCTCTGGCTCATGGTGCTTCTTTTGCCCTTCTAGATCTTTCTTGCAGTTTCGGGTGGGGGGTGGAAAGGAGGGGGCAGGCTCTGGAAGATTCGTGGGCCCTCTCCTCCTCCGCCCCTCCCAAAGAGCTGAGATTGTTCTGGAAGCTTCTGGAGCCCGGCGCCCCGCCCTGGTGCCCGGATGCTGGGGCGAAGGGAGGCTGCGCGGTGGCGCCCCCTCCTCGCGTGGCCCTGGCCGACGCATGTCCGGCAGTGACGAGGGTCTGCCCAGCGGATTACGGCCACCATTTTAGTTGTGTTTGGTTTGGTACTCTATTGTAGTCGTGTATGTTGAGGGGGGTCACGATGGAGCTTTGGTTTTATTGGTTCTTTGTCTTAGTACCTTCTTGGGCGGGTATCCCGCGGTCTCAGAGGTAACCTTCTCCTATGTCCCAAGGCAGCAATCCCACATGTGCTTGGTGTGGGAGATAACCCAGTGGGAGAGACAATTCCGAATTATTTCTCTTTAAACATGACATCGGTCACCTTGGGCTATTTTTCCTACCAAAAGAGGTAATAGAACTGTAGTCAGTGGTTTTCTCCCAAATGCCTGGAACCCTTTTCGTGTTGGAGCCAGGATCTGCATTTGCAATAAGCTACCCAGTGATGCTGAGGCTGTTGGGTCCCATGGACCACTTAGAGTAGTTAGGCTCCAAGATACCTTTCCAAAACATTTGACATTGCGTATTGTGTTAAAGAAGCTTTTTAAGTTTTTTTTTCTAAGTTGGGTTCCTACTAAGGGTACAGGCTGAAATATTTGAAGAAAAGGTTTTACAGTTTTTCAGGAATATGTTTAGTACCCAGCTTAAAGCAGTTTGAACTAAATCTCTTTGAGTCTTCATTGAGATGGGGTGAACCAGTGTTAAATATGGGGCCATTGGTGTTCTTTTGTAATTCTTGACTGTTCTTATTTTAGATGCCTGAGGAAGTGCACCATGGAGAGGAGGAGGTGGAGACTTTTGCCTTCCAGGCAGAAATTGCCCAACTCATGTCTCTCATCATCAATACCTTCTATTCTAACAAGGAAATTTTCCTTCGGGAGTTAATCAGTAATGCTTCTGATGTGAGTGCTTTGGGCACCTTCATTTGTGGTATTTGTTTTCAGCACTCAGGAAAAGGGAGAAGGGTGGTTTGGCATTTTGTGGGGCTGCTGTTGGAGGGGATAAAACTGCTGCTGTTCTTAAAAAAGTTTGCTTTACTCTATGGGGATAGATGGGATATTGTAACTGTAATTATGTGGTTCTTAAATCTCCAGTTGGGGTGGTAATCAGAACTTGAGGCTACTTGGAAGTGAAAAACAAAGTTTTCTTTTGGATGAAGAGATGAGCTTTAGGAAGCACAAAGGTAAAATCGAAATCTGTATTTTTAGGCCTTGGACAAGATTCGCTATGAGAGCCTGACAGACCCTTCCAAGTTGGACAGCGGTAAAGAGCTGAAAATTGACATCATCCCCAACCCCCAGGAACGCACCCTGACTCTAGTGGACACAGGCATTGGCATGACCAAAGCCGATCTCATAAATAATTTGGGAACCATTGCCAAGTCCGGAACTAAAGCATTCATGGAGGCTCTTCAGGTATGTGGTATTTCAGCTAGACATGCACCATTCATTTTTGTGGATATTCTTTGGTTTGCTGTGGTGTTTTTTTAAACTTGTGTTTGACTTTAAAACTTTCTGGCAGGCTGGTGCAGACATCTCCATGATTGGACAGTTTGGCGTTGGCTTTTATTCTGCCTACCTGGTGGCAGAGAAGGTGGTGGTTATCACAAAGCACAATGATGATGAGCAGTATGCCTGGGAGTCCTCTGCTGGGGGCTCCTTCACTGTACGTGCAGACCACGGTAAGTTGACTTTCTTGTTAGGTTGTCTGGGTTAGAATTTTGGGGAGATTTGTAATAGAGATCTTAAGCATGTTCTTTATCAAGTAATTATTTTTCATTACAGTTCTGTGTTTAGTTTTGTGTCCTTATGCTGTATTGTGATTGACTTTTCCTAGGTGAGCCCATTGGCCGGGGTACTAAAGTGATTCTCCATCTTAAAGAAGACCAGACGGAGTATTTAGAGGAGAGACGTGTCAAAGAAGTGGTGAAGAAGCATTCGCAGTTCATAGGTTATCCCATCACCCTTTATGTGAGTGTGGACTGGTAATCCTGACATGTATGATGTCTGCTGCTCAGGAGAATGGGATGGTCCCCAGTTTTTTGGTGTTATGTATTCTGAAACTATTGTTTTTTTGTGTTCTCAGTTGGAGAAGGAACGAGAGAAAGAAATCAGTGATGATGAGGCAGAGGAGGAGAAAGGGGAGAAGGAAGAAGAAGAGAAAGATGATGAGGAGAAGCCCAAGATTGAAGATGTGGGCTCAGATGAGGAGGATGATAGTGGGAAGGACAAGAAAAAGAAAACAAAGAAGATTAAGGAGAAATACATAGACCAGGAAGAACTGAACAAGACCAAGCCCATTTGGACCAGAAACCCTGATGATATTACCCAGGAGGAATATGGAGAGTTTTACAAGAGTCTTACTAATGACTGGGAAGACCACTTGGCAGTCAAGGTGAGAAGCCTTGCTTGTTGACTCAACAGGAAAAGCAGGCAGAAGGGTGTTGGTGGTGGTAGATAAGTGGAACTTGCCCACCTGGCTAGTAGGTGGGAACTGAATGCCACAGAGCCACATCCATTCACTTTCTGATGACCCTTCCAGGGTGAAGAAAGGACATCCTTCCCAGTGACCTCACTTTGTTTCCATGGCAGGTTCTGGATGGGATTGTTTTCTCATTGATCTAAGGGTTATACATAGGTGTCCCATTGTAGCTTAATTCAGGGTGTAAGAGCTTAATTTGCTCAACAGATGTCCTCTGGCATCTCTTCTGTCCTTGGGGAAGATCTTGTCCTAAGCAATTTAATGAAATGACGTTGAGAGTAAACACTTCTATCTTGAAGTACACTACTGGTTTACCTTTGATTTCTTTCAGCATTTCTCTGTAGAAGGTCAGCTGGAATTCAGGGCATTGCTGTTTATCCCCCGTCGGGCTCCTTTTGACCTCTTTGAGAACAAGAAGAAAAAGAACAACATCAAACTGTATGTTCGCCGTGTGTTCATCATGGACAGCTGTGATGAATTGATACCAGAGTATCTCAGTGAGTGTTGTCTTGGTCTCATGTAGTTAGTTGGGTACAGTCTCCTGTGAAGCCCACTCAGCATTCTTACAGTGAGGTCTTGTTTTGAAAAAAGTCTTCATTGTAGATAACATGGCAAGCGAAGGTTCCGTGAGAAAATGGGTTCTGTTGAATTTAGATAATCTTATTTTATTATTATTATTTAATTTTTTAAAAGATTTTGTCAGAGTGTGAGCACAAGCAGGGGGAGCGGCAGGCAGAGGGAGAGATGTGGAACTCAGTCCCAGGAATCCTGATCATGATCTGAGCCGAAGGCAGACACTTAGCACCTGAGCCACCCAGGCATCCCTGCCCTGTCTGTGTTTAACTCTGCTTTCTGCCTGGTTGATTGCAGACTTCATCCGTGGTGTGGTGGACTCCGAGGACCTGCCCTTGAATATCTCCCGAGAAATGCTCCAGCAGAGTAAAATCTTGAAGGTCATTCGCAAAAATATTGTGAAGAAGTGCCTTGAGCTCTTCTCTGAACTGGCAGAAGACAAGGAGAATTATAAGAAATTCTATGAGGCATTCTCTAAAAACCTAAAGGTATAGCTGCAAAAAACAGTTACTTAATAATTATGGCGGAGGGTTATTTTTCATTTACATAGAGGGTAGCAGATTATTTACAAGTAAAATTGTTTTCTTTCCACCCCTGAAGCTTGGAATCCATGAGGACTCTACTAACCGGCGCCGCCTTTCTGAGCTGCTGCGTTACCACACTTCCCAGTCTGGGGATGAGATGACTTCTCTTTCAGAATATGTGTCCCGCATGAAGGAGACCCAGAAGTCCATCTATTACATCACTGGTGCGTTGGACCCTGGGTCTGATCAAAGCCTCTCGTGGGGTGTGAGGAGTGAAGGGAGGGCGTTTGGGAATCCCTGGGAACTGGCAGGAGGGCGGTGCATTCTGACCCCTGAGTCACACTCAGTAACCCTACAGGTGAGAGCAAAGAGCAGGTTGCTAACTCAGCTTTTGTGGAGCGAGTGCGGAAGCGGGGCTTCGAGGTCGTGTATATGACGGAGCCCATCGACGAGTACTGCGTGCAGCAGCTCAAGGAGTTTGACGGGAAGAGTCTGGTCTCGGTCACCAAGGAGGGCCTGGAGCTGCCTGAGGATGAAGAGGAGAAGAAGAAAATGGAGGAGAGCAAGGCCAAGTTTGAGAACCTCTGCAAACTCATGAAAGAAATCTTGGATAAGAAGGTGGAGAAGGTAAACAGTTCGGGGACTAGGATGTATTTTGTAAACAAGTGCTTTGAGCGCTGCTTCCTTCAAAACCTTACGGGGGCTACACAGTGAGTAGTTTTTTTTTTTTTTAAAGATTTTATTTATTTGAGAGAGAATGAGAGAGAGAGAGTACATGAGAGGAGGGAGGGTCAGAGGGAGAAGCAGACTCCCTGCTGAGCAGGGAGCCCGATGTGGGACTCGATCCAGGGACTCCAGGATCATGACCTGAGCCGAAGGCAGTCACTTAACCAACTGAGCCACCCAGGCGCCCCCACAGTGAGTAGTTTTAAGGAGCCTAGTTGGTTCGGGCTTCCTTGCCTTGTCTTTACCAGACAGTTTTAGGTTGGTATTTCTGTAGTGCTGGACAAAGATGCCTGCTCTGCTTTCTTCAGAGAAGAGAACATACGGTCATTTTAGCCTGGAAATGGTAATCTGATTTACCATCAACGGCAAGGTTTTGTGACTGTCCACAGGTGACAATCTCCAACAGGCTAGTGTCTTCACCCTGCTGCATTGTGACTAGCACCTACGGCTGGACAGCCAACATGGAGCGGATCATGAAAGCCCAGGCCCTTCGGGACAACTCTACGATGGGCTATATGATGGCCAAGAAGCACCTGGAGATCAACCCTGACCACCCCATCGTGGAAACGCTGCGGCAGAAGGCCGAGGCGGACAAGAACGACAAGGCAGTCAAGGACCTGGTGGTGCTGCTGTTTGAAACGGCTCTGCTGTCTTCCGGCTTCTCACTCGAGGATCCCCAGACTCACTCCAACCGCATCTACCGCATGATCAAGCTAGGCCTGGGTGAGTACCTTTGTTACCAGGGCCAGGCAAGGAACCGGGGAGCTGGTCTCACAGGGACAAATTGGACTTCGCGGTATTTGGATCAAAGTTGACATGCCATTTTTTTCTACTTCTAGGCATTGATGAAGATGAAGTGACTGCAGAGGAACCCAGTGCTGCTGTTCCTGATGAGATCCCCCCCCTCGAGGGTGATGAGGATGCCTCTCGCATGGAAGAAGTAGATTAGTTCTACCTGCAGACCTTGTGCCCTCTGTATAGTGTCCCCATGGCTCCCCAGCCGCCCTGAGTGGCCCCGGTTCACCTGGTTCCCTCTGCTGATGTCTAGTGGTTTTTTTCTTTCTTGGTCCTGTCTTTGAGGCAGGAAAGAAGGCCCTCAAGCCCTGTCTCTTCCGATATTTGACGGGGTTTGGATGTGTATTGTGGGGGTTTTTTTGTTTATTTTGTTCTGAGATTAAAGTATGCAAAATAAAGAAGATACAGTTTTATACAGTTATGCTCTCCCTTGTAAAGTGGATCTCATGCTGCCTTTTGAGTTTCCTTAGCTTCTCTAGCCCAAGTTGAACGTGCTGTTGTTCTGAGGATAGGTATTCCTGGTACACTGAAAGGGTCGCCGGTAGCCACTTGGCACTTTTGAAAATCTGGGTACCCAGCACTGACACAGTAAAGGGTAGCTTCAAACTAGCAGGTATAATGCCCTCTCCGTGCCCTTCCTAAAGCATACGCCTCAGTGAGCCAAAACACACGACTTCAGCCCATTGCAGCAATTTAATTTAATAAAATAAAATTATAAGAGCAAAATTACATTTCCAAAGTACCAAAACCTGCAACTGGCTCTTGGAGCAGAGCCCAGGGATCCAGGAGCAGAGAGGGTGGTGTCACTGGGCAGGGCTCTCCCATCCCCCTCCTCCAGCACAGCACCATCTTTCACGGACTCCTGGGAAAGCAGCACTTGGAGCCTACAACACTTGTGCTTTTCTCCCCAAAGTTAAGAACTGTAGGTCTCTGGGAGGGAGTCTGCAGGGGTGGGCTACTCAGGGTAGGGGACGAGCACAGGTGAGGTGTTGGAGTCCACAGGGCAAGACTTCGGGGAACGTGAGGGGGTGGGGGCTTCGGAAGGCTTCTGCCCTCTCTGCGCCCCTGCACGCCGAGGACGGTCCTCAGAAGAATCCCTACTGGAGAACAGGGGACTTAAGGCAAAGGGGAAGGCTGCCTCTTGGACTCAACCCCAACTTGTAGAGCTGGTTGGAGATACTGAGGAAAAACCCTGCCTTCTGCCCTTGAGCCAACCGCCTCCGAAGTTACAGCAGGAGAGGAAAGTTGGTATGGTTAGGGTCTTGTTCCACTTCACCCCCTGGGCCCCTCAAACTTTCTGCACAGGAGACTCGACAGGCACGGCCTTCTTAACCCGTTGCTTTAGACGGCCCCGGGCATAGACTCTGAGCAAGAGGGCGGCAAAGACCACAGCCACCCCCAGGCCCCCCACCACAGTGACCGTGTGGCCGTAGAGCAGGCAGGAGAGGAGGATGGCGAAGGCCTGGCGGAGGGTCATGATGATGGTGAAGATGGCAGCCCCAAACTGCCCGATGGTGTAGAAGATGAAGAGCTGACCGCATGCGGAGCAGACCGAGAGCAGCAGGGCATGGGCAGCAAATTCACTGTGTCGCCCCATGAAGCGCGTTCCCTCCAGGAGGGCCCCCTGCTCTAGCAGGGAGCCCACCGTGAAGAGGCAGGAGAAGAGGTTGACCCCAAACATCATCTGCACAGAAGACATCTTGTAGGCAAACAGGGCGTCCTGCCAGTTGGAGGTGAAGCTGTCAAAGGCAATGTAGCCTGCCAGCAGGATGAGGCCTGCCAGCGTGGTGGCGGGGGAGCTGCGGGGCTCGGGGCCGCTGGACAGCAGAAACATGCTGACGCCAATGGAGATGAGGCCGGCGGTCAGGTATTCCCAGTGTTCGTAGCTGCGCCGAGACACCAACTTGCCCATCAGCATGACCGGGATCACCTTCGAGGCCTTGGCCAGCACCTGGGTGGGGAAGCTGACGAACTTGAGCGCTTCATATTGACACCAGCTGCTAAGCACATTTGACAGGCTGGCAAAGGAGTACCGGTACATGGGGGCCCCGTGGCGGGGTTGCTTGCAGAGGACGCAGGAGAGGCCGGCGACGATCAGTGCCAGCACTCGGTTCATGAGCACCAGGAACTGTGAGTCTGTGAAGCGCTCACCTGGCGACGTGGCAGTAGCCCCGTAGCTGCGGGTCATCACCCTTTCCTGCAGCACTCCCCAAGTCAGATAAGACACCTGGGGGCGGGGGGGGGGCGAGGCCCGGGGAGAAGATAAGCAGGAGAAGGAAAAGATGAGCAAAAAAGCATCCAGACAACCTCCCTCTTCCTCAGACGGCTCAAGGATTTAAAGGACGGCGTACGGATTTTGGTCCCTCTGTAGTAACTAGAAGTTTCCTCTCCCCTCCCAAGCCTGCATTCACCTCGGAGAGAATCAAGTGTGTGTGAAACACAACGACAAATGCTTTAGGACTGTCCAGACCCTGTGTGCCCCACACAAGTTTATGTTAAAGCTGACTCCATCCCAGGTTATCTTCCTATCTACTCTCAATTCAGGGAGTAAAAAGACGGCACACCTGTTCAGCATGCAAAGAACTAGCAGTGCCCACTCCAAAGTGCCAAGAGCTCCGCATCCTAGCTCCTTCTCACATGGAGTGGGGGAAGGCTGAACGGCTTCCCCAAACTTCGATCAGTGGGTTAACATACACAAGACACATCATTGCAGGGGAAAGTGTAGTAACAGCCCAGAAGACATCACAGACAAGAGGAGAGAAAAGACAGCATGTCCTCCAACCACTTCTAAGATGATGATGGTACAGCGTGCCCCTGGGAGGAGGGAGCCACGTAACACACTAGGCCAGGAAACTGTTGGGACCGTGCAGTCCCTGTCCACCGGGACCCAACCCAGGAACAGAAGCAGAGCCCGTGGGCCTACCTACCTGGAGCCCCGCAGCACAGAAGAGCAGCTTCAGGGCTTGCCAAGTGGGAGTGGTCTCTACCGGCTCCGTCCGGGAAGCCAGAGGAACCTCGTCAGAGGCCTTGGGCTCATTGCCAAACACACAAGTTTTCACCAGGGGGAAGCAGAGACCCCTGCCTAAAAAAGACACACAAGGTCAAGATCTCATCTTCTCTCCAGCACCTCGTCTTCCCCAGAGCAGCCAGCTACCCTGCTGTCAGGCCTGCAGGTCTCCCTCCCTCCCTTTCCAAGCCACATCCCTATCTGGACGGCTGCTCAGCACTCATAAAACGGACCGAGCACACTAACCCACCCTTTCCGCACCCACCTGTCTCCAGGTAGTTCTTCCGCCTGAAGTACTGCACCATCAGGTAGCCGGGTACCATAAAGCTGGCATAGCCAGCAGCATTCACCAAAAAACGGAAGAACCATAGCTGCGTCCATGACTCTGGAGGGGCTTCGGGGGTCTCCCCACCTGCCCCCAGGGAGGGGAGCGCGGCCAGCACCACCACTGCCCACCACCTGCGGGACAGCGGACGTAAGGATTAGGGTGCAGATCCTAGTGCACTCGGCCCTCCAGAGGGGACTACACTGGAGGAGGGCCCGGAGTCTCCCCGCCCCCCTCAGCTGCAGCCCAGCCCGGACAAAGAGCCTCTCTCTCTCCTGGGAGGGGGGGCGGGGGCGGCGCGGGCCAGGCAGGGCTCCCTCCCTCCCCGGGGGCGGACCCGCCCCTCTGACCACACAGGTTCCCTCTGTTCCCTCCAGGGCTCGCCGGCCGCTCGGGCCACAGGCGGCGCCCCCTCCTCCCACCCCGCCCTCCAGGATCCGGGAGCGCCAGGGTTCCCAACTCCTCCGCCCGACACTCGCGGACCCTGGCCAGGAGCGCAAGTCCACGCCGCGCCCCCCTCTCCCTGCCGGCTCCGGGCCGCAGCGGTCGGCCGCCCAGCAGCTGGGACCCCACCCCGGCCCCTCCGTGCCCAGCAGCGGCAGTCACGTGGCCCGGGGGCTCGGTCACGTGGGCCCGCCGCTCCCCTAGCCCCCCACCTGGCGTCCATGGTCCGGGCCGCGTGGGGCGGAGGGGGGCCGGGGAATGCGGTCCCCGGGCCGCGCGCTCCCTCCGCTTCCGCCGCCGCCTCCAGCAGCGGCCAGTGAGCGACCGGCTAGCGGAAGTGTCCCGCTCTTCCCGCCCCCTCCCCGCGGCCGCCCCTCCGCCCCCAGCCGCGACCACGCAGCGCCCCGGGCCGCCGGCGGGCCACAGCGCCCCCGCGTGGCCCGGAGGGAGACGCGGCTCGGGAGCCGGGAGCAGGGCTGCCCCGGGAGGGGCGAGGGGCGAGGGGCGGGGGATGGGGAGGCGGGAAGCCCCCAGGCCGCGCACCCCCACCCCGCTTCGCCATCGCCCTTAGCCCTCACAACCAACCCGGGAGGTAGTGGTGCCCCCTGCCATCTTGGGACGGGGACATTGGGGTTCTGCGTCCCAAGCACTTCCTCTTACGTTACCCCTTTCCCGATTTCTGACAGGAAGATCTTCCTTTCTCCGCTGAGCTGCAGTTCTGTCCCCCAACAACCCATGACCTTCGAGGCTCTGCATGACCTGGCCCTTCCACCTCGCCCACTCACCCGCCCTCTGCGGAGTCCCACTGGCCTGCCCTCAGGTCCTCTAGTTCACCAAAGGCCTGCCCCTGAACGCTCTCCCCACATCCCTTACTCATCCTTCTGGCCAGGCTGCCAGCACACGCCTCAGAGACCTCCCCTGCCTAGCCAAAGTAAGGCCCTCCACCAGCTTGTGTTCTCCTCACTTTACTTTTCCTTCACAGCATCCACTGCAACTTGTAATTACATATTTATTTGGGTGTTTATGATTTTAGTGGCTGTCTCATTCACTAGACTATAAGATCCAAGTGGCCAGAGATTGTGTTGGTTTATTCCCCCATACCCATATTGACCATATTCACCTAACAGGGACTTCAAACTTGTGGAATGAAAGGAAAAACATACAAAGCCATAGCTCCCTTTTGTTACCCTCCATAGGCTCACTCTTCTCTCCGGGCTCCTCCAGGGCAGCGATGAGCACCCCACTCCCGCGGGGGGGGGGGGGGCGGATCTTCTCATTTCACCTCTTTATCCCTCTGTTTCCACAGAAGGGCAAGGGTTTGTAATGGACAGAGAGGCCTGAGGACTGTTAGCGACCCACCCAACTCCCCCCCCCCCGCCACCCCCCCTGCACCTAGCAAGGTCCTACCTTGCTCAGGTGGCAATTTCCTTCTCTCTGTCTCTACCATAAAGTCACAAGGCAGGCCTACCCAAAAATCCCCAATGTACATGGACATGCACATGCACAAAACAACGCTGGGGGGAAACTTTTTAAAGGTCTCTGCTGTTTTAGTGTCATGTTATTGAAACTTCCCCTTCCCCAAAGGCTCAGTTCAGGGCCTTCTGTGTGAAGTCTTTAAACAACAGTGTTCAAGAGTCCTCAACAGCAGTGAGATGGAACCCCTCAGGGTCCTGCTTGCTGATTTCAGTTTCTCTCCTCACTCGGGAGAGTCCATGTTTTCCTACTGGTTGGCAGTTTCAGGCTGACTGGACATGGGTAGAAACAAGAGCCCCCGCCATCTTCTAGAGTCAAACAGGCTTTGCCCAGGATACCCGGGGCTTTGGGAGTCTTCAAGAATCTCCGTCCACCTAGGAAGGTCTTCTTTCCAGACTGGCCTTCTCTCACTTGTGATCCCTCCTCTCAGCTCAGGACTGTGCTGGCCCTAGGCTGTGGCCTCAGCAGTCCCCAGGACACCAGGAGGGCACATTGTCTGGGCCCAAACTGCAGCAGCTATGGCTCCAGCTTCCACACGGGAAGAGATGGAGTCTCCGGGGCCCCAGACTCTGCCCTGGCTTCAGTCGGCACACAGCAGTGGCTTCCCAGAGATCTTCAGGTCATCAAAGGGCAAAAGAGCAAAGGGCTGAGAAAGAGAATGGAGAGAAGCAAGATCAGGGCCCATGGGGAAAAGGCAGCAGTGGAGGAAGGGAGCTGGGGAGACAGATTGGGTCTTTTCCCCTCCACCAAATGACAGCTGAAGGACATCGGGGAACAAATCTTCCTACTTCCTACTAATTCCCCAAATAGAGGCCCCTCCGGGCTAGGCAGAGCCCTGAAGCCTTAAACAAGCCCTCACTCTCTAAGATAATGTCAGAATAGCAGAGCTAACCAGGACCCCAGAGACGATCTAGCCCATAGGTCTGGAGGGATTTTTGGCAATGGGGTGGAGTACTTATGAAACATTTTGAATATTCTTTTAAGAAAGCTCTAGGCCCAACGTGAGGCTTGAACTCATGACCCTGAGATCAAGAGTCACATGCTCTACTGACTGAGCCAGCTGGGCGCCCCCGAATACTTTTTTACACTGAACATTTTAAAATGGAAAGACTGTACAGGAAATCTAGGTTTTAAGGGGCCACCCCTCCCCAGGGGCCACCTCCTGCCCTGGGCTCCCCTAACCTTTCTCTTAAAAAACTCCAAGACTTGGAAGTGCTGGGCCCACATTCCTCCTCTGCGACTATCTGCTGAAGCCAAGTAGAGTGACCCTTGGGCATAGACTCTGATCCCCCACAGGCCCCACCACCCTGTCTTATACCTAGTTGGCCTCACTGATCCTGTTAGAGTCCAAGTTTGAGCTCCCTGGTCTTGACCAACTAAGAAGACAGGCTGAGGGAGGGGCAGAGGCTTGCCCCAGGTCCCACAGTTGGTGAGTGGCAGAGTCGTGGGTTGTGGATGACACCCCGGAATCCCGACTCCTTGGCCCTTTCAGCTGTTACGCGCCTGCCTCTGCTATGGGTGTGGGAGGTCCTGCAGAGCAGAGCCGAGCCTGTGCCCCTTACATCCTCAGCCAGGTCCTGGGGAGTCTCGTCCTCCACGTTCCGCAGCAGGGAGTCGGCGCCTGCCTCGCACAGAGTGGATGAGATGCTGCTGAGGCCCCGACCCGCCGCGAGGTGCAGGGGTGTGCACCCGTTGAGCATGCGGGCGTCTACCCGGGCACCAGCCTGGAGCAGGAACTGCACCAGACCCCGCTCCTGGGTCTCCACAGCCAGGTGCAGCGCGGTCTTTCCACTCGTGCCCTCCTGGAGGGGAATAAGGAGGTCAGCCAAGGGGCCTCAAGCCGCATCCTGCTGGGCCCGGGGCCCTGGATAAGGAGGTGAGGGCCACCACTTCTGACTGCTGGGCAGGGGAGCCGGGGCTGGATCAGGCGGTGGGGCAGGCCCCGGGCTGGGTCCCGACTGGCCCCCTCACCTGCGTGTCAATGTCAGCTCCGTTCTGAAGCAACAGCTGCATGAGCGGCCGGTTCCTCTGCAGGGTGGCGATGTGGAGACAGGCCAGACCTGGGATGGGGTGAGGGTGGGGGCTGCTCATCTGCATCCAGCAACTCTCTCTCCCCCGCTTCCAGGGACCTCCCTGCCCCTCAGCCCCAAGGGACTTACTGCCAACTCAGTGCCTCTGATCACAGGACTGTTATAAAACAAACCCAAAAAACCCCCTCAAAAGTCTGAGGGAAAAGGAACTCAAAGTTTCCACCTTTTCAGAGTCATGTTATTGAAACTTTCATGCTTCAGGGGTTAGGTGGCTGAGTGACACCCCACATACAGGCGCACCCTCCCCCCCCATACCCCTCCCCCATTCTCTCTCTCCCTCCCCCCCCCCCCCACCTCTCTCAAACTCTACCCGCCTTCACGCCCTGTGGCAAAACCACCTTCTTCACAGCTCTCCAGGATCCCCAGGCCCCAGCCCCTCCCCAGGGGCCACCTCCTGCCCTGGGCTCCCCTAACCTTTCTGCTGACTCCTTTCTGGCGTGGAACCCCCTCTGCCTCCAGACCTAGATTCAAAGTGACATCCCTCACCTCCTTCAAGTCTCTGCTCAAATGTCCCTGCTCCCTGAGGGTTTCCCTGGCCATTCTCTTTCAAAATCACACCCACCCCGCAACCCTGCCGTCCTAGTTCTCACTCTGCTCTGCTTTTCCCACAGGACTTACTGCTTGCTAACCTGCTAGAGAACTCCCTGCTTAGCCTTACTGCCGGCCTCCATCATTCTCTGTTTTGTTCACAGATGCAAGTCCGGCTCCCAGAATAATGTCTGGCACATAGAAGGCCCTCAGTACATTTTTGTTATGTGAATTAATGAGTTCATCTAATCTCTGTTAAACTAAATACCTTGAGGGCAAGGTTTAGCTCTCTCTTTTGCACACAGCAGGCTCTCAGTAAATTCTCAAATTCATTCATTCATTCATGCATCCATTCATTCAGCAAAGATGTAGCGAGTACCTGTGTGCTTGGAACTGGTCCATCTCCTGCCCCCTTCTCATCCCACGGGCCCTGAGGCCGCCCATACCTTGCCAGTTTTGCAGCTGGAGGTCCAGGGAGTGGGGTGGTCCTCGGCCTGGCTCTGGCCGCCCCTCCAGCAGGCAGCGGGCACAGGCCAGGTGCTGGCGCTGACAGGCCACATGCAAGGCCGTGTCACCGTGTCGATCTTGTAGCATCCGACTGGCCCCCTTCAGCACCAGGGCCCGAACTGCACCGGGCTGGTCCAGATGTACAGCCAGATGGAGTGCTGTCTGTAGGCACAAAGGGGCCCGGGGCTACTCTAGCATGCTCTTGCCTCTGGGAACGTGCTAGGGTGAACCCAGGAATTACGAGCTGCCAGAACCTTCTTTGAGGGCAGCTTAGAAAGGCTGTGGCCCTGGTCTTCCAAGGAAACGCTGCTAAACCCTTCCCTCTGTCACTGCCCACCAAGCTCTTGGGACCCCCATTTCTGGAGGCCGGGTGAGGGAAGTGGGCCCCTCTCTTCTTGCAGGTCCCCACAGCCCCTGGAGAAAGGACAGATGGTGGCGGGGTCTACCCCCTCCCCCTCTGGGGAGACCTCTGCTGTCCCCAGGGGCCAGGTGACAAGGGAAGGTTGGAGGGAGGAAAGACAGAGGTACCAGGCAGCCTCCACCTGGCGTACTCCTCTTTTAAAAGGCTCCACGCAGATGCCTCCTCCTGAATTCAGCTTTCCCTGGCTGCCCCCACAGACACTGGATCCCACAGTAGCTGGTATGTGTCTCTATCACAATCCTTGTCACCGGGCTACGTAACTAGGTGTTGACATGAGCCCCCTCGCCCAGGGGGCAGAGGCTGTCTTACTCCTGTCCGTATCACCAGCTTCTATCCCAGTGCCTGGCGTCCGGTTTCCGGAGTGTGCAGCCTAATGGGGCAGGTGTAGGTATCTGGGCAGAGCCCACCCTCTCCCCCCACCCACCTGGTAAAGGTTGTTCTGAATGTCCAGGACCTCCTGGGGCAGCAAAGCCAGACAACATAGCAGCACAGCTGGGGCCTCGTGGATCACCGCCAGGTGGACAAGCCTGGGAGGGGGAGGCAGCAGGAACAGGGATTAGTGTCAGGGCTTGGGCTCTAGATAGTGAGCTAGGGTCCTGGGGTCCTGGGGTTAGAAGGAAGAACACATCAATCTCTAAGAAGCCATTCACAGGGTAGGTAGGTGTAGGAAGTGAGAGTTCGGGCCAGGAAGCGAGGGTTGGTGAGGGAAGCCAGGATCCTGGGGCTGCGAGCTCCAAGTTCCCATCTCTGGCCTTCAGGAGGGCCTTGGCAGAGTGGGAGCGTGGGCAGGGTGCTGATGGGACAAGGTCCTTCCTGTTTGGCCTGCCCACACCCCACTCCCCTCTGGCCCCAGGGCCCTGGCAGGCCGGCTAGAGCTCAAAGCCAAACTGAAAGCTGCCGGGGTAGCACAGAGGTGGTTTCCGGCCTGAGCTCCCCACCTCCGCCAACCCCAACAGGGAGGACTCAGAGGGCAGGAGTGGGGTTATCCCCACTCGCAGCGACTCAATGTTACACATTCCAGGGGAGAGAAAACAGAAGCTCTTGGAAGAGGAGCCAGGAGCCAGCGAGGCATCCTGTTCTGCTGCCCTTCACAGGGGAATCGAGAGGGTCAGTCTTCAGACAGCGCGGACAGGGTGGGGCCTGACCAGAGGCCCTCCACTCAGCCTCCACTTCCAAGGGGAGGTCTGTGCAGTGCAGAAAACGTGCGGCTCTTGGGGGCCAAAGAGCCTTGGCCTCTTGCTAAGGTGGGAGGGGGCAGCAGGGAAGGGAAGTTCCAGTCCTGGGGTTTCCCCACATCAGGTGGGGAAAACGAAAGCCAGAGCTGGAGGGTCTAGGCCGGGACCGCTGCCTTGGGGCATTAACTGCCCTGAGGGGTAGTTTGGGTAAAGGCATATCTGGGCTGGGGAGGGGGCTGCTCAGGCAGGAGGGGGGCAGGCTTGGTGGCGGGCGGCAGGAGAGAGTGACGGAGGGAGGGCGGGAGGAACCGCTCTGGAAATCCCCTCGGCCAGAGCCTGTTCTCTAGGTCACATTCCTGTAGCCACCTCCCTTTCTCCCTGTCTCCCCTCCTCCCACTTCCTCTTCCCACTTCCATAAGTCCTATAGGCCAGACACCCTGGAGGGAAGAGGGTGCCCCCTCCCCTCTAGGGACCTCCTGGGGAGTCTTGACACCTCTTCTCCACCCCACCCACCCCAATTCCACAGTCTAGACACAACACCTGTCTCTAACTAGGTAACGGCTGCACACAGAGAGAGAGGCTAACAAAGGACAGCAGTGTCAGAAGGCTTCAATCCCTAGGTCAAAGGTCAGTCATAGGTATTCCACATGGAGCCCCCCAAATCTTGATTCTGGGCCTGAGGGCTGCTGATCTGGGCAGGTCACAAAAAGGCCTCGGGTCATTCCTCTCCCACCCACCGGGTCCACAGGCTATCTTTGTCAAAGGCAACCCAGGATTAGGACCCTCCCATCTCCAAAAAGCAGGTCAGGACAGACACCTCCGGCCTCCTCTACCCTCCCCACTGCCATGCATTCCAGCATCCCCGGATCTGGGACCCCAGCCCACTCCACTCTGTTTCTCGCCTCCAAGTCCTCACCTGACAGTGTTTCTTCTTCCTAAGGGGCAAATCTTCAGCTGGCCAGTCCCTCCCACACAAACTGCTTCTTACTTCAACTGCCTGCCCCCCAGCCCAGTCCCCACCAAACTTCACCTGGGCCTGGGGGAGGAAGAGTAAAGTAAAGGGATCAGACAGGACAGTGAGGGGGACTTGGGGGGCTCAGGAGGTGGAGGGTGTCGGTAAAGCTGACTCCAGCCCTCACTTCCCCTTTTGCAGCAGAGAAGGAAGTAAGCTGGGCAGCCAGCCGCCTGTCTGCTGGGGCAAGAGTGCCCCAGCCTGGCTCACCCCCTCTTTCTTAGGGCTAGCCTCAGCTCTGCACCCTGGCAGTACCCACATCCTTTGCTTCCTGACCCCCACTGGCAACCTGTAATTGGCACCTTTTGTTCCTTGAGACAGGGTATTCTGAGGTCAGGGGCTGGGAATCCCAGATAGTGAGCAAACAAGGATGCCCTCTCCCCCAGTGAGAAAAAAAACAACAACAACAAAAAAAAAACACAAAAAAACCCTGGACTGGTCAGGGGAATTTTCCCTTCCAAGGGTGGGTCATTGGTAGCTTTCCAAGCTGCTAGCTGGGGTTCCAGGTGTCTGGTAAGGGCCCTGTCAGCTCTGCCCACCTCCCTAAGGGAGGGCAGAGAGATGATGCCAGGGCCTCTGGTCCGGGTCTGGCCAGAGCTCAAAAGTGGGCTGAGAGTGAAGTCGAGTTTGGAAGAGAGAGTGGGGACTGCCCCTTCCAGCGCCGGTGTCTTGAGGGATCCTCACAGAGTGGGTTCCCGGCCTGTTGAAGATCCTGGCGCGCCGGGAGTTAGCATCAATTGGAAGGGGTCCCTGTCTCACCCTAGACCCCATACTCACGTGTCTCCATCTTCGGAGATGTAAGTGAGTGCTTCCAGCTGCTGAGGGCTCAGCGCCCCCGCGGCGGCGAGCGGCGAGCGTGGGGCTGGGTTCTCGGTCTCCGTGCCCCCCAAGAAGGGCAGGGGCTCGGTGAGCGACGAGGAACCATAGGTGGAGTCAGCTCGCTCCCCATCTGTGTCTTCCTTCTGTGGCTCTTCGGCTGTTCCCGGAGGTTGAGTCCAGGGCTGGGGGCCGCCGCCATCCGAGAGCCCAGAGGCTGGGGTCGGGGTGGGCTCGGGCAGGGAGCGCAGAGAGCGCAGAGACTCGATGCCCGAGTCATACTGGCTCTCATCTGTCTCGTCCGGCCCCTTCCGCGCCTCCGACATGCCAGCGGTGCCGGCCCGCGGGGGCCAGGTCCGAGTAGGATCCGGCTCCGGGCTCCGCCGCGCCGCCTTTCCGGGTTGCAGGTCCGCCCTGCAGAGCTGGCGCCCGGCCGGGAGTGGCCTCCTTCCCGGGCTGCGGGAGCCCCAGGGGTCGGCGAGAAGCGCAGGCGAGCCTCGGAGCGGGGGAAGCTTCCACCGCAGCGGCTACTCCGGCAGCTGGACTGCCCAGTCGGACTCGCTCGCTCGCCCCGCCCCTCAGGCCCCGCCCCCGACAGGCGCTTCCGGACCGAGGCCCCGCCCTCCGGAATCCCCCTTACCCCGCCCTCTGGGTTGGCTTCGAGTTAGGGGTTACCCGGTCCTGAGTCACTCATGCGTTAATTCACCCACTCATTCATTCATTTATTCATTCATACACCCATTCATTCATTCATCCATCCATGCATTCATATTTTTCTGTTCCTTCTTTGCATTCATTAATTTCACGCATTTTCTTTCCTTCCTTTCTTCCATTTCTTCATTTTTTCCATTCATTCATTCGTTTTTATTTTTATTTTATTTTATTTTTAAGATTTTATTTATTTATTCATGAGAGAGAGAGAGAGAGAGAGGCAGAGAGAGAAGCAGGCTCCCCGCTGAGCAGGGAGCCTGATGCGGGGCTCGATCCCAAGACCCTGGGATCACGACCTGAGCCGAAGGCAGACGCTTAACCATCTGAGCCACCCAGGCGCCCTATTTTTTATTTTTTTTAAAATATTTTTATTTATTTATTTGACACAGAGAGAGAGCACGCATAAGCAGGGGGAGGGGGAGAGGGAGAAGCAGGCTCCCCATCCAGCAGGGAGCCCAAATGGGGGCTTGATTCCAGGACCCCGGGATCATGAGTTGAGCCGAAGGCAGCCGCTTAGGCAACTGAACCGCCCAGGCGCCCCTTTTCGTTTGTTTTTAAAGGAATATTTATTAATCGTCTGCACAGGCTGGGCATCTTGCAGGGAGAGCACTGCTTTCTATCTCCTACCCATATCTCTCAATTTCTGTGGTTTTCTCATCTATCGGTGCCCGGGAGTTTGGGTAGGGAAAGAAAGGGGATACTTACTGTCTTTAAAGGACCAGTTCTCCCTTTGTGTCCTGGATAGAGGGTCTCCTGCAACAACTTCCCAGATCACATAGAATTGGGCACAAGGATGTTTTTTTGTTTTTTAAGATTTTATTTATTTATTCGACAGAGAGACACAGGAGAGAGGGAACACAAGCAGGGGGAGTGGGAGAGGGAGAAGCAGGCTTCCTGCTGAGCAGGGAGCCCGATGTGGGGCTTGATCCCAGGACTCCGAGATCACGACCTGAGCCAAAAGCAGACGCTTAACAACTGAGCCATCCAGGCGCCCCAAGGATGGTGTTTTTGTTTTTGTTTTTGTTTTTTTGAAAGTGAGTTTTCTCAGGCAAGCTGTTGTCTTAAAAAAAAATGCAGAGTGGTCATGTTTTTTTGTTGTCTAAAAAAGCAGACTGGTCATTCTTTACGGGGATGAAACATTGGCTCTGGGCAGTTACAACATCTGGTTACCCCTAGGGGTCAGGGAAGTTTAGTTCCTCATGGTGGGGCCAGAATGGGGAGGCCCCAGACATGCTGGGCCATGCTCTGCTGAGGTCCCCACCACAGCCACAGCCCCAGTGCCAGCACATCTTTCCTCCTTCCCTGTCCCTGCTTTCCCTGGGCCTAAAGGGCCTAGGGAGGTTGTAGGCAAACTCCACCCACATAGTGAGCCCCAACCTGTGCCCCATGATTCATCCTCTACCCCAAGTGCCATCAACCCAGGGGCATCAATGACCTTAGAAGATCATCCCCAAGGGAATATTTCCCTTTTCCAGCTCTGGCATTGGGGGAAGGAAGCTGAAGTGAGTATAGACAGCTAAGAACCAGCTTTTCTACTGCCCTCCTCCATGTAACCTCATTTTATTCATCCATCTCTTCCTCTGTTTGACAAACATGTATGGGGCTTTTCCTATATGCCTGACATTGGTCTTTCTGCTGGAAGCAAAACCAAGTATCATAGTAACGGTAATAACCAACAACCACTAATCCTACCCCCATTCAAAAATGTCCCATGGTCCCAGCCTTCAAAAATCTCCCTGGCAATGATAATAGAGTGCTTGTGCTAAGACAGGAGTGAGAACAGGGTGCGGTGGGGGCACACAGCGGGGTCGATACCCAGTGGAGTGAGGGGAAGGGAAGAGGGCTGGGGAGAAGAGAGGTACCCTAGTGTGTGTGCTTAGAGGGGTGAGTCAAGAGAGAAGAGTGGTGGGCAGATGGGAGGAGATGCCCCACTGCTCTTCATCCCTGTGGAGAACCAGAGTGGAGAGGATGTATTGAGCATGAGGCAGTGAGAAGCCACGAGGGGAAAGCCCAAGGAAATTGAGGCATCTCCTTCCCTTGAGGTCAGTGTGATTTCAGATGTTCGCAATTTCCTCCCCTGACATGTTCCTCTCTCATCCTCAAAGGCTAGAGCAAAAATACAGTCAGGAACTCCAGACCCACACTACATGGGCTCAGACCTGGCACTATCACATCCCCATCTTAAAGTTGGGAAGCTGCAACCCAGAGAGGTGAGTTGAACTGCCCAAGATCAAACCAGTCAGGAAGGACAGGGCCAGGTTCTCCTGTCCCTAATCCAAAACTTTGAAAAACATTTTCTTTTTTTAAATTAAATTTAATTAATTAATTAATTTATTTATTTATTTTTAAAGGTTTTATTTATTTGACAGACAGAAAGACAGCCAGAGAGGGAACAAAGGCAGGGGGAGTGGGAGATGGAGAAGCAGGCTTCTGGCGGAGCAGGGAGCCTGATGCAGGGCTTGATCCCAGGACCCTGGAATCCTGACCTGAGCCCAAGGCAGACGCTTAATGACTGAGCCACCCAGGCGCTCCTGAAAAACATTTTCAATGAAATTTTGTTTCCTTTATGAAGGTCTAAGGAGTTGGGGCATCTGAACCCACCACAAGGACACAAGAACTCAGGAGTATGCAGTGACCACCCTTTCCTTCAGACAGAGGCTGAATTTAAGGAAAAACCTATCCCAACTCAATCCTGCGTCTCGCTCGGAACCCCAACAGGTGTGTAGCAGCCCCTTTTCTGGCCACATGAGGTCAGCATTGAGTCACTCGCTGCTTCCAGACCCTGCCTGCACTCTGACAGGAAGCCCTTCTGGGGATACTTCAGAACGGGGAGAGGGACCATACAGTGCCATTTGGAAGGGTGACCTGGGGACTCTGACTCGGGCCTCAGCATGGTCAGGGCCCTGACTGCTTCCTCGGCCCCTCCAGTCCTCTTCTCTCTCTGCTGTTTTCTTCTGGTTCCCTTTGTAGTACCCCCACTCCCAGCTTCCACCCACCCCAGCCAGGCTCCTCTTCAGGAAACAGGCCCTGTTGCCATGGTGACCAGCTGGTCAGCTGGCTCCTTCCTCGCCCCCTCCCTTCACCCCTCTTTCCCCTGAGCTTCCAAGGAAGGGTGATGTGTGTGAATGGAGAAGGGCGGGGGGCGTTGTCAGGGGTCCTTTATCTCTTGGGAGCTCTGGGATTGGCCAAAAGGAGTTGGGCCAGCTCTCCTCCAAAGCCCCCCTGAGGTGGAGACAGGCAGGCAGTAGGCGTGGGGAATAGGAGCAAGATTACAACAACTAAATGGGGAGTGTGATCCTCCTATCTGGGTTAGGAAACGGCAGGGCTAGGAACTCTGCACTCTGTCTGCAGTGAGGACTGAACTAGGTGGAACCGGCTGAGACCAGAAGAAGGGTTGGAGTTAGATGTGAGGCAGGGCTTCCCACAAAATATGGGTGGGAGACACTGGAGTTAGCCACCAAGTGAGATTCCTCCTCTGCCATGAGAAAGGGGGCGAGGCCTGCCTCTTCAGGACCACACCCTTCCTCTGTTCGGGTCTGGAGGACAGAATGACTGACCCGTGGAGGATCATGCAGGCTGGATGGTTCTGAAGCAGGAGGCAGCCAGTCGGCCACCTTCACTTTGCCTGGAAAGAGGAGAATAGGAAAATGGAGGAAGGCCCAGGAGTGGGTGTGGGGGGTGGGGTGGGGTGGGACAGAGGCTGTGGCTACTCTGCCTCAGGTGAGAATCCCAGCAGATTGGTGTGCTTGTCCCGTCCCAAAGACTAGATTCTCCAAAACTTTGCCTTAAGCTAACTTCCTACCCACAAATATCCCCATGGCCTTTGGAATGGGAAAGATCTGGATTCTAGGACTAGCTCTGTGAATACTAGCAGGTAACCTTTAGTAAATCATTCACACTCCCTATACCTTGGTTCCTTGTGGGTAAATGGGGGACCAGTTACTATATGTCAAAGACTCTAATGTAGCACAGGGCACACTAGGATTCCACAGTGTGCACCCACAGATTGAATAAGCATAGCCTTTATACTATTTTATCATAATGATTGCCCCCTCCCCATTAGACTTTGTGCTCTTTGAGGGTAGAATATTGTATGTTTCATTTCTGAACAGGGTACAGAGGAGGTAGCCAATGCCTGTTTATTGAATGGATGCATCCAGGAATGAATGAATGCATGTCAGTTTTCTTTCTGCCCGTCCCAGGCAGTACAGGGAGAAGCAGTGTGGGTGGATGGCAGGAAGGGGTGGGCTACTTGCAGTCACTCAGCCTGGCCTGGGGCCTATGATTTTGCCTCCTACACCCACAGAAGAAGGGCAGAGGCTTAGAGACTGTCCAGGCAACTTCTTCAAGGCACAGATGAGGAAACTAAGGCTTAAAGAGGGGAAGGCACTTGCCCAAGGTCACACAACCCCTTAATGGCAGAGCCAGGATTAAGAATTGGAACTTAGGTTTCCTGATCTCCAGCCTAGGGCAATGCACACGCTTCATTGCTTCTTTGGGACTGTTTCTCTAGGGAAGGAAAATGGCTCTGTGAAGCCCCATTCCAATGTCCTCCCCTCTGCCCTCTGTTAGTCCTTTCTCACATCTAGCTCCAATCCTTTCCCTTTCACCCGATTCCATCTCTGTTCACTTGGGTCTGGCCTCTGAAGGCTGGCTCCCGCCTTAAGCGTTACCACCCAACTGGGAATAAGGATCTTCCCTAGGGTTCCAAGGCTCAATTTCCTTTCCCCACCCTCGGCCCCAGGAACTTGCGGGAACCAACGACGGGGAGGGATGTTGGTTGAACCGCTGGTGCCCCCTCCACCGAGAAGGGACAGAAGGAGTTGCTGCACAGATCTTCCCGGGATGGGGGGCGGTGGTGAGGTGAGCAAGGCTGGGAGTGGGGAAGGGGTGCGGGGAGCCCCTGTTGCTTCTCCTCTTTGGGGGGGTGGCTATTAGGTAGGCTTGAGGAAGGCGGAGTTTGGGGGGCCGGGGGCGGGGCTCCTGCGCTGAGAGGAAGAGGGGGGGCGCGCTGGCTCCAGCTCGGCTCAGACAAAAGGCGGCGGCGGGAGCGGGCGGGAGGCGGAGCGGCGCCGCGAGGGCCTCAAGGTGACACCCGCCCCCGGCCCCGGCCCCCCCCGGCCCGGCCCCCCAGCCCGCCTCCCCACCCCCCAGCCCCTAGCCCCCTACCCCCGGTGCCCTTTCCAGGCCCCCTCCCCCCGGCGGGGGGTGGGGAGCAGCGAGGGCCCCGCCCCCTCCCGCCCCCTCCCCAGGGCCAGCGCAGGATGCCCTCGGCCCCCGGCAGCCCCCCGGGAAGCCCTGAGCTCGACGCACCCCCTCTACGCCATGTCCCCCCCTGGCTCGGCCGCGGGAGAGAGCGCCGGCGGCGGCGGCGGAGGTGGCGGCCCCGGGGTCCCGGAGGAGCCCACGGCGGCGGCGGCGGCGGCGGCGGACGAGGGCCCCGCCCGAGAGGAGGTGAGAACAGGCGGCGCCCCTTCCCCGGGCGCGGCCGCAGCCTGGCCCCCCATCCCCCGCCGCGCGCGGCCCCCGCCGGTTCCGCCGCAGCGCGGCCGGCGCCCCGCACCCCGAGTCGGCCGCCGCAGCCGCAGTCCCGCGCCGATGCCCCCACCGGCGGCCGGAGCTGTCCGCGGTGGCGGGGAAGGGGCTGCGCCGGGGGCGGGGCTCGGGGGGGGTCCTGGGCAGGGGGAGGGGCCTAGGGGCGGAGCCTCGCGGACCCCGGGCGGATGGGGTGGGGACGGTGGCAGGAATCCTGTTTGGCGGAGGGAATGCTATCTTGAAGGCCAGGAAGGGCGACTTGTAGGGGCTACAGAGGCAGGAGAGTACCATGGGGAAATGGGGGTGGTACCTGAGCTGTGGTCCTAAGAAGGTCAAATGTGTACAGAGGCGATTCCCCCTGGGGTCACTGGGAGTGTGTGAGTGCACCTCTCTCCCCCAATGTCCACGCAGCTCCCCCACTCCCAGGGGGGCCCTGAGCCCAGGAATCCTTCAGAGTGTTGGAAATAAGCATATCCCTAGTTGGGGGCCCTACTCTTCAGTCGTCTGAACCTGGAAACAAAGAGACTGAGGAAGGTACCAGTGGCACTGCTCCCCTCCCCCCATCTCCCAAGCACACTCGTGCACACACATACACACTGCACTAGGGCAGAAGCACAGGGACAGGGACAGACCTGCAGGTAGAGACCCTTTCAGATGTGCTGTCAATGGGACACGTGCACACTCAGGCGGGCCCACGGAGGTGCACATCTACACACCCCCCAAGGACAAGGCTCCCGGGAAGGTACATGTACCCTAATCTTGTTTGTATATGCTGTGTGCTATTGCCTAGCCCACCTACCCAACCACACTTCCAGATCTTTCCTCGCATTTCACACCAGGTCCAGGGCCTGCTGTCTGTGACTGTGCCCTTCCTTTCTACCCTTTTCTCCCTTCCCGTGGCTAGACTCCAGGTCAGGCCTGGGGAACTGGAGGAAGTCAGGATCTCAGTGGCAGGTGTGTGTGTTGGGGGGGGGTTCCTAAAGCCAGACAGCAGGGAGGAGGAGTGGGAAAGCACAGCCCACCACCAGAAATCCAACTCAATTCTCATCTATTAAGTGGCTGCTGGGCGCCAGCACCACGGTGGGCACCCAGGATGCAGAGAATGAGACCCTGCCCTCAGGAGCACCCAGTCTAGACGTGTAAACAACTCACTGGGGTGACCGTGGGATGGAGTGGGCCAAGTGCTTTAACAGGCCCCCAGAGAGCCCCAAGAATCATTTTGACAAATGACTGGACTGCAAACGTCTTCCTCCCTACCCCGCTAACGTGGTCCCACAGCCCCGCTCCCCAGCCACTTGTCTCTGCCCTTCTGGTTGTCTCCTCCTGGACTGCCTTCTACTCAGAGATGTCAGTCCTCTTCTTCTCATCTTAGAACAGGGGAAGGATGTTAGGGTCCAGGAAGGAGACTTACAGGAGGCCTTGGGGTCAGACTGTGGGGAGAGTCAGAGCTTGGGGTTTCCTGGGCACCCCCCAACCCCTCCAAAGGAGGTATGAGACTAATTGTCTGTGAGGGAGGTGGATGGGTCAAAGAGGACTGGCTCCTCTAGAACCCAGGACTCAAAGAATCGGGAAGATGTGAGGGTCCCACCTGTTAAGTGGGAAGGTGATGTCAGTGGGTCCCTCCCCACTTTCCTGGAACACCTGGAAGGAGTCCTGGCTGGGGACCTGCCTTCGCTGATGCCTATCTGTCCTCCCTTGTCTTCCCCATCCACACCTCCTGTTTCATGGCCATCTTTATGTCTGTCTTTGGACTCTGTTTCTCTGGGTGCCATCCTATCCATCTGTGTCTTCTCTGCCACCCGGGGCCTCCTCCCTTCGTCTCTGGCTCTGATCCCTCTCTGCCTTTTGGGGTGTCTGTCTCTCTCCACACTTCCCTGTATTGGTGTTCTGTTTTCTTCTCCTGTCCCCATGCCTCATTCTGGGTCATTTCTGCATTTATCTTTGGTCCTCGGCTCCCATCTCGGTCTTAACCTCTTCTCTCCATGACCCTGTCTGCCTGTCATCTCTGATGCTGGCTTCCACCCCTCCATCCATCTCTGTGCCGGGTCCTGCCACTCTGTCTCACTCCCAATCATCTCGGACCTTCCCCTGCCCATGTGAGCAGCAGCGTCCCATCCAGCCCTCTTTCACCAAGTCCCTCTGCCGTGAGTCCCACTGGAAGTGCCTGCTACTCTCGCTGCTCATGTACGGCTGTCTGGGGGCCGTGGCCTGGTGCCACGTAACCACGGTGACCCGCCTCACCTTCAGCAGCGCCTACCAGGGCAACAGCCTCATGTACCACGACAGCCCCTGCTCCAACGGCTATGTCTACATCCCCCTGGCCTTCCTGCTCATGCTGTACGCCGTCTACCTGGTGGAGTGTTGGCACTGCCAAGCCCGCCATGAGCTGCAGCACCGCGTTGATGTGAGCAGCGTGCGGGAGCGCGTGGGCCGCATGCAGCAGGCCACGCCCTGTATCTGGTGGAAGGCCATCAGCTACCACTATGTCCGCCGCACCCGCCAGGTCACCCGATACCGCAATGGAGACGCCTACACCACCACCCAGGTGAGGGGCTGGGGGGGGGGGCGCTGGGACCCTGACTGATTGCCCCCAGGGGGAGGAACTCAGGCAGCAGTGAGCTCTGTGGACACTGAAACAGGAGGGCAGTACCAACCACGGTAATGACGGCAAACACGTAGCAGCCAGGCCCTGCCCGACATACATCATAAATACCAAATCATTTCTTTAATCCTCATAACAACCCTATGAGTTAGGTAACTACTATCCACATTTTACAGATGAGGAAACTGAGGCCTGGAGAGGTTAAGTACCTTGCCCAAAGTCAAACAGCTAGTACGTGGTGGAGCTGGGATTTGAACCCAGGCAGTCTGGCCCCAGGGTCTGTCAGGATCTCAGCTTAGTGCTTAATGGTCGGAGATGGCTTCACACGCACTCTCTCACAGCACGCTCTCACCCGTTCAGTGAGGTGGCTGCTCCCAGGTCCTTTTCCACAGGTAAGGAATCCTAAGCTCAATGACTTGCCCAAGGTCTGCAGCTTCTAAGTGGTAGTGCTAGACTCAAACCCAGGGCCCTGGATCCCAAGTCCAAGGCTCCCAGAGGTGGGAGTCTGCTGGCAAAGAGGTGGAGGTAGGCACGGGAGGCCCCATGCAGGGGTGGGGGCGGGGGCTAATTAGCGCTTCCTGGACCCGCCAGGAGAAGGCATTATTAGAGCCCTGGAAGAAGAGGAGATTTTCTCAGTGGAGAGTGATCTCTGTCTCACTGCTGGGATGGGTAAACAGAAGCCTGGGGCCTGTGACAATCATGGAGGGGGCTGGGTGAGAGCTAAGGTGGGAACAGGAAGACCAGAGGCAGAGACCGGTCGACAGGGCCCTCCGTGGCCCATCTGGGAACACACTTGGAAAAGGGAAGAAGGGGCAGCGTGGGACTTGGGAGACGGGGCAAAAAGGTCGGGCAAGCCCGACGGGCAGTTCAGGGCCAGCGCCTGACCCCCTGATGAAGCAGGGCTTAATTAAAATTAGCGTGCACCCGGGTAGGTCCGACTTCCAGCCCATCCTCCTCTCTAATGGATGACGACTCTGAGGGCCTGCGTTGCTCTGTAAAGCAGGTATTAAGATCCTACCCGGCTCCAAGCGGGCTCTAAAGCGGGGCAGGCTTAGGGTTCGAGCGGGCAGCAAGAGCGGCGATGGGGCGGACGAGGGTGAGCCGACAGAAGCGACTCCCGCCGCCCTCCCCGGCGCCGCAGGTCTACCATGAGCGCGTCAACACGCACGTGGCGGAGGCCGAGTTCGACTACGCGCGCTGCGGCGTCCGCGACGTGTCCAAGGCGCTGGTGGGGCTGGAGGGCGCGCCGGCCACGCGCCTGCGCTTCACCAAGTGCTTCAGCTTCGCCAGCGTGGAGGCCGAGAACGCCTACCTGTGCCAGCGCGCGCGCTTCTTCGCCGAGAACGAGGGCCTGGACGACTACATGGAGGCGCGCGAGGGCATGCACCTCAAGAACGTGGACTTCCGCGAGTTCATGGTGGCCTTCCCGGACCCGGCCCGGCCGCCGTGGTACGCCTGCTCGTCGGCCTTCTGGGCCGCGGCGCTGCTCACGCTGTCGTGGCCGCTGCGCGTGCTGGCCGAGTACCGCACGGCCTACGCGCACTACCACGTGGAGAAGCTCTTCGGCCTGGAGGGCCCGGGCTCGGCGAGCAGCGCGGGCGGCGGCCTGAGCCCCAGCGACGAGCTGCTGCCCCCGCTGACGCACCGCCTGCCGCGCGTCAACACGGTGGACAGCACGGAGCTCGAGTGGCACATCCGCTCCAACCAGCAGCTGGTGCCCAGCTACTCGGAGGCGGTGCTCATGGACCTGGCGGGGCTGGGGGCGCGCTGCGCGGGGGCGGCGGGCGGCGGCTACGCGCCCGCGTGCCGCTACGGCGGGGTGGGCGGCCCGGGCGCGGCGGGCGTGGCCCCGTACCGGCGCAGCTGCGAGCACTGCCAGCGCGCCGTCAGCAGCTCGTCCATCTTCTCGCGCAGCGCGCTCAGCGTCTGCGCCAGCCCGCGGGCCGGCCCGGGGCCCGGGGGCGGCCCGGGCTGCGGGGGCAGCCGCTTCTCGCTCGGCCGCCTCTACGGCTCCCGACGCAGCTGCCTGTGGCGCAGCCGGAGCGGGAGCGTCAACGAGGCGAGCTGCCCCACCGAGCAGACGCGCCTGTCGAGCCAGGCCAGCATGGGGGACGACGAGGACGACGACGAGGAGGAGGCCGGGCCGCCGCCGCCCTACCACGACGCCCTCTACTTCCCGGTCCTCATCGTGCACCGGCAGGAGGGGTGTCTGGGCCACAGCCACCGGCCGCTGCACCGCCACGGCTCCTGCGTAGAGACCTCACTGTGACCTCCGCCCCCCCCCCCCCCCGCTGCCCCCCGGCAGGCCCAGCGTCCTCCCTCCTGCCCCTCGTCGGACCGTGCCCCTGGCGTGTAGTGGGGGGAGTCGTGATGGTGACTGAGGCTGTGCTGGGCACGGCGCGGGGAGCAGGGAGGCGAGGGTGCGCGGGACGGACCCCGATGGGGTTCGGATCCCCCCGCCTTTCCTGCACATAAAGAGACCGACGGGTGGGAGGGGGTGGGCGGCTCCGGGGAACCCCGCCCCGGACACGGTCGGCTCTTCCAGCCCCGCCCGTCAGTTCCTAGGGGGACACCTCCCCTTCCTCCACGCACACTCGAGATTTCCCGTTCAGCCTTTCAATGAATCTTCTGACTGTTAGCGGCGACTGTGCTGTGGCACCGCGTGGGGCCCGTCGCAAGGGCGAGGCCTTCGCTGTGCAGCTGGGAGGTCTAGAGGCCGGAGGGGGCTTTCCTTCCTTCGCTGCCTGGCCCCACCAGGGCCTCTCTCTACGGAGGGGGCGGTGGTTTGGTGAACAGCAGGGCTGACTTCCAACCTGCTAGTGGCGTCAGTGGGTCTGAGGCCGGGGCCGGATGTCAGCCCCAATGCTCCATCTCAAACCCGTGCAAATGTTGCTCTCCTCTTCTTGGCGCTGGCCCCAAAACATCGGGGTTTCCTTTCTGCCGCTCCGTTCACTGCTGTTTATTTTGCTGGGTCCCTGGAGTGTGGGTCCTGGAGGGACTGTGCTCACACCGCTCCCGTCACTCTCCTCCCTTCGCTCTTGCCCTCTGGCCCTGAAGAGCAGTTGCCCAGGGAGGAGGGAGGCAAAATATGGTGGGTATGTACCTCAGTCCTGTCTCTAAACTCTGCAGCCTCCTGACCTGGGTTCTGGGAGGGCTCTCCCTTCAGAGGGGGTGAGATAACCGCCCCCCTTCCCCCCCGCCGCGTGTTCATTAAAGCTGGTCAAGATGAATGCCTGGGTGGGAAGAGTGGGAGACAGACCGGGGTGACAAAGGGGAACTCTCCTAGCAGGTGGGAGTGGGCAGTGGAGGGAGATGGAAAGGACCTCCAAAGGTGGGGGTGTCTGGGGCGACCCTTGCCTTCCCCAGACTTGGGGGGGGTATGAAGAGCTGTTGTCCCCACACATTACCTCTGCAGGGCTGAGGACGTCCTCACGAGCCCCGACTGGAGAAATACTCAATTCCAGTGGCAGGGTCAGAGGCAGAAATTCTCTAAATCTTGTCTGACCCCCTCTGTCCTCCTCTATCCCATGAGCTGAAGCCCTGCAGCGTGCCCCGGGGTCTTCAAAAGGGCACCTTGCCACCACCCAAGGGCGCTGGTCCCACGTCCTGTTCTAAAGCTCTGACACGGCCTTTTCTCCCCCACCACTCCCACCCTGATGTGCTTCAGTGTGCATGTCTATGTACAACCCCCTGCCCTCCCAACTCCCCTGGCTAAAGTTTTCCCAGCACACTCAGTGCCCAGGGAGTGAGCTCATATTTCAAGCTGGAGAGGATAACCCTTGGGCCGCCAACATTGCTCACCCCTGATGCTCCTCACTTTGCCTGAGCCATATGAGCTCTTCCTTCCCCTCCTTCAGCCCCCTCTCCCATCTTCCTCCAGCCCCCCTCCCATCTTCCTCCAGCCCCCTCTCCCATCTTCCTCCAGCCCCCCTCCCATCTTCCTCCAGCCCCCTCTCCCATCTTCCTCCAGCCCCCTCTCCCATCTTCCCCCAACCTCCTCTCCTATCTTCCTCCAGCCCCCTCTCCCATCTTCCTCCAGGCTAGCCAGGCCTACACCTGCCAAGGGCATGACAGTCACCTGTACAACATCTCTGGCTCCCCGTCCCCCTTCCCTGGGGGACTTGGGAGGTACAGATTGTGGGGACACCGCGGCCCATGGTCCATCAGGGTTGAGCTTTCCTGTGGAGATGGCTGAGTGGGAAAGCAGAGGAGGAGGGAGAAGGGGAGGCTTGGGCAGGAGGGAATAGCTGTCCACTAGGTTTCCCTGGGCCTGGGCAGTCATGGCCACCTGCCTGTCACCACTGAGCCTGCCTGGACCCCGAGTTTGTGCTCCTTGGGGCCCTGGCGATTGGAGCACCCCTCTTTCCTCAGAGGGGACATCTGTGAGGTCCAGGTGGTGAGCCGTGGCCGCAGGCCCCAGTTCTTGGCCAGCTGGCACGGGGATGTCCTGCCCTTGTATGGAGGCAGCCTGGCCACTTCCCAGCTCCAAGGAGGGAGGGACTCAGCTCCTTCTCCCTCAGGCCCATTCCTGAGACCGAGCCTGAGCTAGGAGGAGGGGACAGGGGACCCCCTACTATTATTTTTGCCTGTATTGACCATTTCTGCCTAGGTCTTCTTACACAGACAGCCTCACCTTCCACACACGTGCAGACTTAGAGAGAAAGCGATTCTTTGGTCTATTTTCTTGGTAGCTTTATTGATTGCCAGGGAAAACGAAAACCAGAAAATTAATCTCTAAAATTAAACTTTACACTGAATGTTCTTGTTTCTCTAATTAGAACTTCTGCTAGCAGCTGTGGCTACGTACACACACACACACACACACACACTCACTCACACACACCCTCACATCTACACGTTTGCACTCCCGAACTGTCAGAGGGTGTCAGGCACAGACAGACTCTAGCTTGCCCAGACAGGCACACAAGTGCAGTCACTCCCAAGCCCCCTTTGGTGCTCGGCGTGGCGCCTGCTTGTTGGAAGGAGTCCCTGGAGAGCAGGCACCCCTAGGCGGTGGCTGCAGCCCATGACCCATCCTTTGGAAAGACCACGGGTCTGGAGGCCCTGGACTCCTCAGCGGGGTGGGGAGGATGGGAGATGGGGCTCAGCCTGGACCTATTAGGTCCTCTTGTGGCCCTGGGCGTTGATGTGACCCCTGTGGGCAGCCACAGAGCAATGGGGACTCTCGGAGGGCACCTGGAAGGCTCCCTATGTGCTGAGGACAAGGGCTTGTGGGGGTGGGCTGGGCCTGGCTGGGGAGAAGACAGGTCTCTGTCAATTGGGTGCATCACACTGTGGCCTTTCTGTCGTGGATTTCCAAGCGCAAAGATTGTACAAATCAAATGTGGATAATAAAGTTGCGGATGACTCACTGACTTCCCTCCCCTGTGTGGCACCTCCCCCATGCTCTCCTCCTCCCAGCAGAAGCTCCCCGGTGGGGGCAGTGGGTCTGAGTCCCTCCTGTCACCTCTGTTTCCCCCTTCCCAGGTTGTGTGTGTGTGGCGGGGGTGGGGATGAGAATCGGGATGGAATGGCCTGTAGAACGGGATCACTTTAGCAGAGTCGAGTAATAGCGAGGTAGCATTGGCAGGGGTGAGGGTGAAAGAGCCGGGCAAAGCTCTGCAGTAGCCAGAGGAGAGAGAGACTGAGGGTGTATGTGTGCCCTGCAGGCACACACATGTTTGAAGGTCAAAAAGTCCAGGACTGTTCAGTAGAGAGGACAATGGTTGGGAGGCAGGGGTCAGGGAGATGGATGGCCTTCATGGGATAGTCTGGGGAGGCTTTCAGAATCTTCTCTGCCTTCCCTAATCCTGGAAGAAGCTGGTCATTTCAGGGGGTATGATAATATCCTCTTCCGGAGTACAGGGGACGGGTCCCACCTCATACCCCTTTTCTCCCCCATCCCAGTCCGCTCCCCGTCTTTATCTGCATCACCCTTGATCACTGACCCCGAGGATATCCGTGGTCTCTCCCACTCTCCTCCCTCTAGACCAGCGTGGCACTCTACAGCAGGCATGCGCGAGCATGAAATGAGGGATGGGGCTAGGGCAGTGACCCAGGTCCCGTCACTGCCCCAGCCCTGTCCCCCACCTTATCGTGCAGGGTTCTCAGGGCCCTTGGTGACGATTGGTGACATGAAGTGGCTGGGATTCAAGGTCCGCTGGCGGGCAGCTTCCCGGTTGGCACAGAGGGCCTGGCCAATGAGGTACTCGCTCTCCTGGGCCACATCTGACAGGCGCAAGTCAAACTCCAGGAGGGTCTTGTTGTCCGACATGCCTTCCAGGAGCTGCTTCCCGCCGTCCTGGAAGAGGAGTACAAGGGAAGGGGCCATTTCATATCATTACCCAGGATCGCACACACGCGTGCGTGTGCACACACATACACCCGTTTATACAAAGATGTGACTAGAATGAGAGTTTCGCAAAACAACGGTTAGCCTCTTCGTGAGGCACACTAATGTGTTCTATGCCATCCTATCCTATTCCATTCTATTCTATAAGAAAAATGGTGCTCAAGACTTACTAAAGGGATTTTCTTTTTTCTTTTTTTTTTTTTTAAAGATTTTATTTATTTGACAGGGAGACACAGCGAGAGAGGGACCACAAACAGTGGGAGTGGGAGAGGGAGAAGCAGGCTTCCCGCGGAGCAGGGAGCCCGATGTGGGACTCGATCCCAGGATCCCGGGATCATGACCTGGGCCGAAGGCAGACGCCTAACGACTGAGCCACCCAGGCGCCCCTAAAGGGATTTTCAATGCTCATGGTTTGAAAAACATGGTTCTGTGACAGTGATGGTAACTCCCCTCCTCCGATTCAGCCATGGGCGTGTGAGACAGATCTGGCTAATGACATCTGAGGACATTCTGACATTCTGAGAAGAGTCTCCTCACTCTGAAAAGAGAACAAGAGAGGGGGCGCTCTCCCTTTTTCTGCCTCTGAGCTTGGCCCTGTGTGAGGTGTAGCAGCCTTCTTGGGACCGTGAGAGAAGCTCCTGAGAGGATCTGGCCATGTGGCTGGGTGGGCAGAGCAGATGGCAGCACTGAGCCAGCGAATTTACCAACTCCAGAGGCCCCCTACCCTGGGACTTCTGATTATGGGACATAATGAACATTCCTCTTGTTTAAGCTGTTTCCTGGTTCAAGTTTCCGTTACTTGTAGCCAAAAGCACCCCGAGTGGAGACAGTGTATGTGTGTCTGAGCAAGACTGTTCTCTTGGGAGAGGGTGCAGGGCCCCGTCTGGAGGACATGGAGGGTCCTCCTCACTAGTCCTCACGGCTCCAACCCCTTCTGGGCTGGGTGGGCCACGCTTGATGTGAAACATTCTTATGTGAGAGACAGAATGGTCGTGTTCTATGGCTGTGACCCAAGAGTGTGTCGCAAAGCCAGTTCAATGGGTTGCAGATGCATTTTTTTTTTAAAGATTTTATTTATTTATTTGACAGAGAGACACAGCGAGAGAGGGAATACAAGCAGGGGGAGTGGGAGAGGGAGAAGCAGGCTTCCCGCCAAGCAGGGAGCCCGACGCGGGGCTCGATCCCAGGACCCTGGGATCATGACCTGAGCCGAAGGCAGATGCTTAACGACTGAGCCACCCAGGCGCCCCTGCAGATGCATTTTTAAAAAAATGAAGTAGAATAGAATATAAAGGAAAATGTCAGCATGTATCACAAGCAGTAAAAGTATATTTCAATGATACTATATTGATGTATATGTTTACTAGGTGTTCATGTAAATTGCATTTCTTATTCTGAGACTTGGTCAAGAAAATGAGAGACATCATCTATCAGAAAGGACCCAGGTGGGGCGCCTGGGTGGCTCAGTGGGTTAAGCGTCTGACTCTTGTTTTCTGCTCAGGTCATGATGTCAGGCTCTAGAGATCCAGCCCTGCATCAGGCTCCGCATGCTCAGCAGGGAGTCTGCTTGAGATTCTCTCTCTCCCTTGCCTTCTGCCCCTTGTGCACACTCTCTCTCTCTCAAATAAATAAAAAAGATTTTATTTATTTGAAAGAGAGCGAGGCTTGTGCACGAGCAGGGGGGAGGGGCAGAGGCAGAGGGAGAAGCAGGCTCCCCGCTGAGAAGGGAGCCTGATATGGAGCTTGATCCCAGGACCCTGGGATCATGACCTGAGCTGAAGGCAGACACTTAACTGACTGAGCCATCCAGGCGCGCCAAATAAATAAATCTGGTTTTCAACCAGTCCTGAGTTTGAATCATAGCTCTGCCACTCTCTACTGACTGGATGCTCTTGGGCAATTCACTAGCCTCTCTGAGACTCAATTTTCCATCTGTAAAGTGGGGTTAAGAATACACACTCTAGGGGTGCCTGGGTGACTTAGTCGGAGGTGGCAGCCCCTCGCTGTGTCCAACTCTTGATTTCAGCTCAGGTCACGATCTCGGGGTCATGAGTTTGAGCCCTGTGTCAGGTTCTTGGCTCAGCCGGGAGTCTGCTTGAGAGTCTCTCTTTCTCCCTCTCCCTCTGCCCCTCCCCCATCTCTCTCTCTCTCTCTCAAGTAAATGAATAAATCTTAAGAAAAGGAAAGAAAGAATTCACGTTCTACTAGGGGCACCTGGTTGGCTCACTTGGTAGAGCATGCAACATTTTATCTTAGGGTTGTGAGTTCGAGCCCCATGTTTGGTGTAGAGATTACTTAAAAATAGAATCTTCAAAAAAAAAAAAAAGGAATACACATTCTACTAGATAACTGTGAGGAATAAAGGAACACTGAAGGATGTCAGTGCCTAGCATAGGATATAACCCGGAATAACGGTAACAGCTAGCGATACTGAGCTCCTAGCCAGTGCCTGTAATGTTAACTTCTTTACAAGTACAACTCATTTCATCCTCCCAGTAACAACTAGTATCTACTTAGAAGTAGATACTATTATGATCCCCATTTTACAGATGAGGACATGGAGACCCAAAAAGGTTAAGTAATTTAACCAAGTGCAAAATGGCAGAGCTGGGATTGGAACCAGGTAAAGTCTGTGCTCTTAACAATTACCCTGGAAGCACCCGAAGGCAGTTGGATTCCATACCCACCTCACCAAGGCCCCAGAAGGTACAGCTTACCAGCCCGATGTGGTTGCAGGACAGGTTGATGCTGGTGAGCGTGGTGTTGACGGAGAGCACCTGGGAGAGGAGCGTGGCGGTGGGCTCAGACAGCTCGTTGCCACCGAGGTGCAGTGTTGTGAGGCACTTGTTGGTCTGCAAGGCGTGGGCAAGTGCCTGGCCACCCTCATCCTCAATGCAGTTGAGGCGCAGGTTGAGGGAAATGAGGTTGGTGTTGTGTGCTAGGGCGTGAGCCAGAGACTGGGCACCAGGTGCCCGCACCCGGTTGTTGGCCAGGTTGAGCACACGCAAGCGGCTGTGGCTCAGCAGCTTGGCTGCGGCACGTGCTCCCCGGTCCGCGATGAGGTTGTGTGACAGGTCCAGCTCCTCAAGGGCTGGGTGATCCAGGAGGCTGCGAATTAGGATGCGTGCCTTGTCGTCGTCCACCTTGCTTCGGGTCAGCCTGAAGATCTGTGGGCAGGTAGAGGGTATGCAGCAGCCCGCAGCCAGGGAGAATCTGCCTGCCTGCCTCCCTACCTTCTGCAGGGAGAGGAGGGGGCTGCAGGGAGGCCTGAGGTTCTGCTCACCTGCTGTTGGCCACCTGACTGGCCCTTGGGCAGAGCAGAACTGCCCCACATGGCAGATTGGTACCGAACTGGTGGCAGGCAGTAGAAGGAAAGCCTGGCATTTATCGAGAAATTACTGCACGCTGGGCATGCTGCTAGAGGGTATCATAACCATTATCTCTAACCCTCAGCATCCCAGGCACTTTACAGATAGAAAAGGAAGGCTTAGGGTGGATGGGTCATTTGTCCAGGGTCACACAGTGATCAAGCCCCAGAGGCAGGTTTGAATGCAGGTCTGTCTGATGCCCCAGCCCCTCGCTGTGCCCTCTTCAGCTGGCCAAGATCCACTGTGGCGAGGAGAGGAACTCTTGGAAGGAGATGCCAGGGTAAGAACCAGGGTGAGAGATGGGAAGTGGAAGGATGGAGAGAAAAGATGAAAGAATGGGGTAGGACTAGCGTGGGGGAATACTGGAGATGGGAGCCCTAACCCTCCCCCTTCTCACCAGCTCCTTCCACTCCTCCCTCTTCCTTGAGGCCTCTCCATCCTCTTCCCATCCTTCAGTCCCCTGCTTTCTTTACGTCCCTCTTGGCCAACTTAGAGCCTCTTGTCCCTCTTGTCATTTCATTGCACCTATCTGGCAAAGCTCCAATCCTGGATCAAGCCCACTCTCTGTTTTCTGCATATCTGTGCCCAAGCAACTGACGTGATGGAAAAATGTCACATGACAGGACTGGTTGGTATCGCTGGAACCACCAATAGACCCTCAATGCTGTGTGCCAATTCAGCCCTGTTTCTCTGGACAACATACTCTCTCCTCCTCCGAAACAATGACTTCAACCTTCTTTAGCCTCCTCAAACTTCAGGGGGCCACCCTACAGCCTCCTTTCAGCAGGCAAGTCTCCCCTGCCTCCCGGCCATTGAATAAGAACCCTTCACTTTCCTAATACCAAACAGCAACCCACTGCTACCCACCACACCCACTCTCTCCTCTGCCCAGAGCCAATTGTCCCACCTTGGTCCTCAATTCTACCTCTCCTGCCTTCTCAGGAACCCTCCCTGGTCAATGAACCTGTGCCTTTCTCCTGGACTTGGCCGCTTTCTTGCTATTGGATGGAGCTTTACATTGGTTTTAAACACATGCAAATATCTTTTTAAGAAAACCCAAACCCTTCATCTATTACTGATTTCCCCTTCGCCCCCTTCACAGCCAAGTTCTTGAAAAAGCTGATCACAGCCATCCTGTTTCCTCACTTCCCACTCTTTCCATAAACCACTCGGATCTGGTCCCTGTTTCTGGCACTCCACTGACAGTTCCAGCTCTGTGACCTCCGAGTTTGCTAAATTCGGTCCTCAGCATCACCACCCCCCATTGCTGCCTGCCCCTTTTCTTGAAATGCACCCCTCCCTTGGCTCTGTGACTCAGGGCCATGTCCCCCTTTTCCTCTTTCTCTGACTTTTTGGCAGGCTTTCCCTCTCCCAACCAGAATATTTGGGACATACTTCACCCAAAAAATTACTCATTGTGTATTTGAGTTTCAAATTTAACTGGATGTCTTGTATTTTTACTTGCTGAATCTAGCAAGCCCATCCTAGTTGTAATTTCACATTTACATGATTGCTGATGAGTGCCTTTTATCCCACCAGGCTGTTTGCTCCAGAGGGCACAAATGGTTTAATTTTGCTCCTTATTGAATCTTCAGCACCTAGGATAGGGCCTGGAGCGCAGATGATCCTTGGACGAATAAATGGCTCGTGAACTGGGAAGGCAGTGCCTTGTTCATCTCTGCACCCCCAGAATCCAGCTTGGCGCAAGGTGCATTAAGGGACACTTGGTCAGAGAGTGAGAAGGAAACGGGAGGGAGAAGATGGGGATGGAGGGGGAGGAAGAGGAGGGGAGAGGGAATCCGAGAGGCGCTGAGGATGGGAGGTGGGGGAAGGCTGGGCCCTCGGGTACCTTGAGGGTGTGGCATGCTTTGATGGTGGCCGCCAGGGAGTGGCAGTCCCGATAGGTGAAGAGGAAGAGGTTCCCCTCGAAGTTCATGCCGCAGTCCTTGACCCCGTACACCAGGTCTAGCTCCTCCAGGTGGCTCAGGCCGGCCACCAGGTCGCGCAGCTGGTAGTGGTCAGTGGCGGGCTCCTCCGTCTCCCCCTCGCTGCCCGAGTCGGACAGCTCCCCGCTGCGGGGTGGGGCGGGCGGCTGCACGGGCGGGAGGAGCTGATCCACGCACAGCCTGCGCACGTAGCTCCGGCAGAGCGGCAGCAGGTCGAGGAGCACCGCGGGGTCCGTGGTGCCTGGGATGAAGTGCTTTATCAGGTTCTCCAGGTGCCGCTCGAAGAACAGGCGCTTCCAGCTGCCGCCATGCCTGGCCACTTGGCACACGGGCCAGCGCTGCAGGCAGCAGCGGCGCCAGTAGCTCTCGTCGTCGATCAGGTTGGCGGTCACAGCCAGCGGCAGCTCGGGTGACAAGTGGCTCAGCACCTTCTGCTGGTGCTCTGGAAGCAGCTGCTTCAGGATAGGGTTGTCTTTGGGAACAGGAAGGAAAGCAGGAGTCACAGTGTGGGGGGGGCATGGCGTGGTGCCCTGCTCCGGGCCTGCCTAGGGGCACCGGCGAAATGGAAGACCCTCCCCGGCCCTCAGGGAGCCCCAGTCCGAGGGGGGGGACAGCCTTTACTCCCAGGGATGCTCAGGCTGAGACAGGAGATGCAGCCCCAGGCTTTGGGGTGTTCCCTGCCTGAAGGTGGACAGCTTAGTATCTGGTTTCCGGGAGCTCCCAGTCTAAGCACGAATCTCAGGTCTAGCCTTCAATTATCACTTGGTCTGATGCAGGACATAATCCTGAGTTCAGAGATTCCCAAATGATTTGATTCATTCATCTCAAAACAAGAAAATGAGCACCTCCTGTGCACCAGACACTGTTCTAAGTGCCACGGATATAAGAGTGAACAAGACAGAGGAAGCCACTCCCTCTTAGAGAGGAGGCAGACAACAAATCAGTCAGGTGAGTATATTGTAGGTCGGGTGGTGGTAGGTACTGTAGATAAAATGACGATCCTGTCTTCAGAGCACCCTGTCTGGTAGGAGAGGTTGGCAACTCATCTTTGAAAAGGATGACCATTTACAGAGCACAGAGTACAGCACAAACCAAGAGCCTATACACACTGTGGAGGGCTCCAAGAGAGTGGAGGATGGTCCACCAGGGAGGGCTTACTGGAGGAGGTGTCCAGTAAACACGGTTTGGGCTGGGTTGGCTGGAGAGAGTGGGAAAGGAGAGGAGAGGCCATAGGCGCACAGGGCACAGTGTGGGTGGGAACCTGGTGGGGCCTGGAAGTGGGGGCAGTGGGAGAAACCATTCTGGCCCCAAGGGGGAAGGGCAGTGTTGAGCAGGGATGAGGACACAGTGCGGAAGGGCCGGGGCTGCGCCGGGACCCAGCCTCTGAGGCCTCGCTGAGGCTCGCCTCTGGGCAAATCCCACCCATCCTGCCCCATTCCTGGCCTTTCCCTCCTGCCCAGGGCAGGGACAGACTCACTCTGGAAGTTCTTGACAATGTGCTGAATGCAGAGCTCTGTGAGGAGGGGCACGATGGCCAGTGACCACTCGGGATCCTCAGCTATGATCCTGCGCATCCAACGTACTTTGGTCCCAGAATTCCAGCCCTTGGACTTGCTGGGGGGTGGGATAATTGAGGGCCTTGAGGGCTGAGGGCCTGTGCTCGAAGTTTGGCCTGCAGTGGAGAACCTTTCCTGCGTGGAGATTGAGGATCGGCTGGGTGCCGACAGTGTCGATGTTGCTAGGGTTTCCTGCATGCTGTGGACTGGCAGCCTAGGGGCAGGGAGCCCCTTGGTGATGGCCTTGTGACGATGAGTCTCTCACACTGGCAGATCCTTGATGCCCTGGAGGGAGAGGAGGGGTGGAGGTCTTAACTTTGGAGTGGGCATTTAGCAAGAGAGGTAGCACAGAGTGGTTCTTAAGGGTCCATCTCTGGAGTAGAGCTGATCCAGGTATAGATCCCATTGGCTAGCTGTGTGGCCTTGGGCAAGTTACTGAATCTCTTATAGTTTCATATGCCTCCTCTGTGAAATGAGGATGGCAGTCACCTATAAGAGGAACGGGAGAAGTGAATAAAATAATGCATCCAAAGGGGCACAGTATACTGCGACACATGCAACTATAGCAGGAAGCAGGCCCACATTTTGGATAATAATACCTACACAGCAATGATAAGTAATTGATATATGTTGGACCCTTATTTATTTACTTACTTAAAAAAAAAGGGTTATTTATTTATTTGAGAGAGACAGGGAGAGTGTGCAAGCATGAGCAGGGGAGGGGCAGGGGGGGAGAGAGAATTTCAAGCAGACCCCCCACTGAGCATGGAGCTTGCCGTGGGGCTCAATCCCATGACCCTGAAATCATGACCTGAGCTGGAACCAAGAGTAGGATGCTCAACCGACTGTGCCACCCAGGCACCCCTGGACACATTTTTTAAAAAAGTTCTTTATGCATATTAACTCATTTAATCCTCACAAAAGCCTTTTTGAGATAGGCACTCATATTTTTCCCATTTTTCTGATGTGAACCTGAAACACAAGTTAATTGACTTGCCCCACGTCATACAGCTTATAAATAACAAGGATGGATTTAAATTCAGTCTATCAAGTCCATACCTTTTTTTTTTTTTTTAGATTTTAAATAATCTCTACACCCAACATGGGGCTCGAACTCACAACCCCCAGATCAAGAGTTGCATGCTCTACGGACTGAGCCAGCCAGGCGCCCCTCAAGTTCATACTCTAAACCCTACATTGTACTGCCCCTCTGAGGGTGAGGTGTGAGGGTGTGTATTGCCAAAAGACGGAGGTATAATAAAGAACCATTTAGTTCAAAACAGCTCCCGGGGTTAAGTATTTTACAGAACAGCAACTGCCTAACCAGGAGGATGGAGTTGAGAACAGCACTGCCAAATAGAAATGCAATACATGTCAAAATGCAAGCCACATATACTGTTTAAAATTTTCTAGCATCCACATTAAAACAAAATAAAGAGAAATGGGTGAAATTAATTTTATGTTTAACCCAATATGTCCACAATATTATCATTGAAATATGTAATCAATATAAAAATTAATGAGATATTTTATATACACTTTTTCATACTAAGCCTTCGAAATCCGATGGCTCAATAGTCACGTGTATCTAACGGCCTCTGTTTTGGATAGTGTAGGCTGAGATGAAGACAGAGGGGAGGGGACCAGACCTATGCTCTGTCCAGGGTGCTGGCACCTTCCCTCTTGCCCTCTGAGAGCTCTGGCTCCGCTCCTCCCCGCCCCCCCCCCATCTCCCTATCCAGTCTTCCTAGTTCTCCCAGCCTCCCGACATTCCAGACGGCAGCGGGAAGGCGTGGGAGGTGAAAAGGCAGCTAAATCTGGGGCTGGAGACAGGAGACAGAGGATGTATCTGGGTCTGGGGACCCTCCTCCGCGTTTGTCCATTCGTGCCTCCCTGCTGCAGGTGCCCCTGCCCTGAGGCTGCAGGCTGAAACGGGGCCGCTCCGCATGCAGCTCCTCCTCCCGGCAGTTTCCCCTCGGATTTGCTCCCTGACTCGTGCACTGTGTAGTGCCCGGTGGGAAGGAACACTCTGAACCAGCAAAGGTGTCCTTGGCAGATGGAGGGGACCAGATGGTACTCCCCAGTCCACCAGGCATCTCAAGGAGGAAGAGCCTGGCTGTGTGTGTGGGGAGGTGGGGGGCAGAGAGAAAGAGATGGGGTGGGGGGGGCATGAGGCAGTGTAGGGAAGACATCTATGTATTTGTGACACCCTTATGCAAATCAAATGCAAATTCACAAACCCATTGTGTCCAGATTTGTGGAAGAACCAGCTGGTGCATTTGACTAATAGCCCCTCAGAGGGTGTGGCTGGGAGGGGATGCTTCTTAAGAGGTGCCAGATGACTTTGCATTTCTGGCTTTGCCAGTGATTTGCTATGTGACCTTGGCCAATTTACTTAACCTATCTGAGCTTCAGTTTCGATATCTTCCTTCTGCAGGCGGTTATGGAAATTCCTCTGAGATAATGTCTGAAATGAGTACTGGGGGTGGGGGGGTGGGGAGGATGGGAGACAGGGGTCTTGGGCTGGGGAGAGAATACCTCGGAGCCCTACCTCTGAGTGCTGACCTGAGATGGTATCCTTGAGTGAGGCGCTTCCCTATCTCCAGGGGAGAGGCGGAGGGCAAGGTGGCTTTGGTGGTGTTTGGGGCTGGATTAGGATGGAGGGGCCTGGCAGTCCGGGCACCAGGAGGAAAGAGACAACAGGCCGGCCCTGTTCCTCCCAGCTCTGTCTCTGGGGTCTTGGGGCTCCCACCAAAAGTTCCCTCCAGAGTTCTGGCTGAAAACATTCCGGCATTCCCTTTGAGCCCAGATGTATCCCAAGACACACTGTGGGCCACACCCAAGGGAGCAGGACCTGGCTTGGCGGGGGGAGCCCCAGGTTTCTGGCTGGTGTTACCCTGGAGCCGACTGACTCTCCAGATATTTCTCACAGCGCTGCCCAGCCTCACCATCCAGGTAGGCCCTTCCCTCTCCTTCGTCCTGGGAGGCCTCGTGTTGGGGACACCCCACCTGGGGGCAGGCATGCCGCCCCCTGGAACCGGGCGGCTGTTGCTGGTTCTACTGTCTAGTGCTTCATTGTCTTAGGACCCGACAACTCTTCCTGAGGTCTGCTCCTCATCTTTCTTGCTGCTGGTTGGAGCTGTGGCCCCCTCTGGGCATGACACTGCAGGACCCACCCCAGGGTGGGCTCCGGGGTCCTGAGCCCCCTCCTCAGAAAGAGGAGGCAGATGCGCTCCAGGTACATGGCGGGTATCAAAAAGAGTCCCTATCGTCCTGCAGGGCTTACAGAAACCTCCATACCACAGGGTCTGATGCCATTTGTAAGGTTAAAGTGTGAAACCATTAACCCAATAATAAGGTCAGAGTTGACAGTTTTCACTTTCCCCATCACCTATATAACCCAACCCCACCCACTTCCCCTCTGATAACTATCGTTTGTTAACTAACTGGAATTAAAAAAAAAAAAAGATGATATAAAGCATGGTCCCTCCCTGCCCAGGCGGTTCACCTGACCCCTGCCCTTTATCAGACCCCTGTACCGCTGTCCCTTCAGTGATCTGATTGAGCACCCTCCACCCACACCCACCCTAGACTGTGAGCAACTTGAGGTGCAGGGGCTGTTTCTGACTCCTTTTTCTCCCTAATCCCTGGCCCATGCCAGGTCTGCTTTACAGGAGGTAGCTGGTGTTCGGAGCTGCCCCGCCCCCTTCCGAGAACAGACTCTGGCCAACAGGAGTGTCCCATACTGGTCAGGGTGACTGGCTCAGGGGTGATGCAAGCCAATCAGGGCCTTTCTTGGGCTTTGTTGGAGTAGCCGCAGAGGTGGAGGTAGACGCAAGGATACTCATCTCCTGCTGCGGGAGGCTGGCTGTTTCCCTTCACGTGGAGCCCTGTCTGCCGCAGGAGGGAATGAAGCCTGGGGGAGACCAACAGAAATGAGAGGTGGACAGAGAGCACCCGGTACCTTTGGTCCCCAGTCTGACGCCCCCAGGCCCCCGAGAACTGCCTGGCTCCTCGGCAGTTCCTCTGGTTCTGAGAACTACTTGGCAGCCTTCTGATAGGTCCCTTTTGCGGAAACTGAGTTGGGTTTCTGCCCCTTTGTGACCAAAGGGCCCTGACCATTTGGGCAGGCTCACAGTTTGGTGAATGGAATTATGGAAAAAATCCTAAATCAGTAGATGAAATAGTTCAATGGGGTGGCTGAGAAGGGCCAGAGGCCTGGCATCTCACTCGGGGGCCTCTTCCTCTCCAGGCCGCCCTGGGCCTCCAGCGTCCCCTCTCATCTCTCCCGCTGGAGGACAGATCAGCAACCTGACCTACTCAGCATGTAGCAGTTAACAAGCTCCTTTCAGAGCTTTGGGGTCCTTTGGATCTTACAGCCACTCTGCAGGGGAGGCAGGGCAGGCTTCTCAGCCCCATTCTAGGGATGGAGAAATGACTGGTCCTCGGACAGCTAGGAGGGCTAGGCCCAGGGCCTGAGGGCAGTCACCTCCCCCTCACCACAGTACACTGCTCTTCCCCAGGCACTGCCCACAATTTTCCACCCTCCGCCAGGAAAGAAGGCACATCCCTGCTTCCTGGGAAGCTGGGGGGCCTATCTTTATGCAACGAGAACCTGTCAGGGAAGGCCTCTCCGGGCCGAGAGAGCAATCAGACATTGGCTCCCCGCTATGGAAATGTCAGGCCCCTAACATATCTATATCTCCCTTCTTCTCAGTCATCCACAGCTGAGTGTGAATGAATTTCAGATTCAACAAGCCCAGTTAGGAAGGGGGCAAGGAAAACACACCACTGAATGTGGAGGGCCCACAAGTCAGGGGCCCTGTGATAACTCCCCCTACTTCCCGGGGTGGCCTCAGTCTGGCCCAAGCATCGCCAGTCTGCAGCTGATGGTGGTAGCAGGTGGTACTGTCTTCCCCGGAAGCCTGAGGCATGGATAGGTATCCATTAGCCAGGGGCCCAGGGGCACCCTGACAGCTCCCAAGGGCCCAAGGAGGACAGCCCCAGAAATGGCAGCCACCTTCCTTTTTGGAGCTTTGTCTCCCTAGGGAACCTATGGGGCAGACAGAGAACCCCAGAGTTTGAAGACTGGAAGCAAGTTGAAGACCCTGATCCTTCTCTGGGGCAGGAATCTTTTCTGACATTCCAGAGAGAAGGTCAGGGCCATGGGGAGTGACTGCCTTTTGTGCCCCCACCTGGTGTCCCTAAGGGCACAAGTTACCCTAGGATGGGGAAAGTGGGGACATGTCCTGTGACCTTTGCCTCCTGGCACCTGTTTCATGGGTGTGTTGGGCTTCACATGCTGTGTCTCCAGCATCAACCCTAACCCAACACAGGACCACAGTCCCTGTAGAAAGGCCAGTCCTCCCCCCAACCAGGTCCCCACTCTGTGTCCTTAGGACCGGGGTCCAGGGTCCTGAAATCACGTTCAGGCCCTAACTCAAAGGGTTAGGTGTTAAAGTCCGCTCTCTATGTGCCCAAGCACAGGTAATATAAAAGGACAACATGCCCTAGTTCGGCCAGCTTGTCTTCATTTTTGATGGCTTGTGTCTGCTGGACAAGTGTTCTGGGAACCAGATCCTTGCCTATGTAACAGCTATGATTTATTGAATGTTAGGCTGTCAAAGCCTTTGCAGCTGGCCAAGGACTCAGGAATTACACTGCCCGAGGGCCAATCTACACTCTGCCCCGGAGCATCTGTGAGACCTTGGGCAAGTCATTTCACCCCCCACTAAGCCTCCATTTATTTATCTATAAAATGGGGATGGAAATGAATAGTACCTACTTCCGAAGATTATCCGTGCTGATGTGTGTGAGACGTTTCATGTAGTGCTGGGCCCAGAGCCAGCATTCAAAATATGATAGATATTATGATGAGATGTTACAGGCCTCACCTACATACGTTTATTAAATCTTCAAATTTATTATTGAGGGCTATCACTGCTATTATGACACTATTATCCCCATTGCACAAACGAGGAAACAGGCTTAGAAAGCCTAAGTAACTTGCTAAGTATGCATCACATAGCTAGTAAGTGGGAAAGCTAAGGTTTGAGCTGATATCCGTCCATTACTTCCGTGCACAAAAGCGTAGGCAAATAATGAGCTGTTGGGGTTGCTTCCTAAATTGTCCAGACTTGGTTGTTCACAGCACTTTTCCAGTGGGCCTCCCACTTTCTCCAGCTCATGAGCTCTCGCCATCTCCGGGTAACCCTTTTGATGCTGGCCTAAACAGCTCAGGCTCCCTCAGTCCCTAAATCAC